CTCTAAATCTAGAGAATAAGGTGGTAATTCATTTATGCCAGATATCTCAAGCTGCACTGGACACAGAGTTTACATCAAGCTCTTCTTTCCCCGCACCAATGTTTCTGTAGCTGGTTTTTACATTTAAACATTTGCTATACTGCACAGTTTTAAAACTCTTTCAAATATACGTTTCATCTACCCAGGTGAATTTTATTTCCTTTAAGGGTTAGAGACTGGGTCACAGTCCCTAAACTAGGGTTAAGTACATGGGAGGCATTAAATGGAATTTGTTGATTTGAAAAGTTTCCTGCACTAACTATGTATCCAGCACCCCACTCAGCACCACTTTCCTCCATTTCAGTCAACTAGACTCGATTCATTCACACAAATACTACATATAGTAATAGTCATTAGATTCTCAGTTTGTAGTTTAATGGTTTTGCAACATCAGATGCACATTATATTTTGAAGCACCAACTATGCTTGAAATTGAACATTTTTATAAAGATAATAAAAGTTAATGACTACCCATGATCTATGATCTGACAATACATCTGTTCTTTCTCATTTTGAGATGATAAAATACCCACCGTAGCTTGTTGTGGCACAGTAAGAGAGAAGAAATACAGTCTATTAATCACTCTTAAGTATCAGCTTATTAAGTTATAGTTTCTCAGCAGGCTTGTCATACATGACTATTAATAGGCTGCAGGTGTTTCTCTAAAGTCTTTTTATAATGTAGTTATGTCATAAAAAGACAGCATGGAATAACAGAAACCCTAGCGGACTAAGAATCAGAAAATCTAAGTTTTAAATTCTGTTTGGTTAACAAGTATCCCAAAAACCTTGCACAAGTCACCACCTCTCTGAGTCTCCAATTTTCTTGTCTGTAAAATGAAGGGACTAATTATAAATTGAAGAAGTGTGTGCCAATTAACACCAGACCAGTAGGCAAGTTACAATAACTCAGTACCTAAGACTTTCACCAGATACCTTCTAACAGAAATCTGCTCACATTAAAATAGCTTAAACCAAACTGTAAAATGGAGATTTCTGTTGCTATTGTTAACCTTAAAAGTGAATTTTGTTGCCCAAGAACTGTGGAAGTGCAGGAGACCAGAGAAACATGTTTCACATGAAAAAACCTTGACTACTCACACACACTGATATACCTAAAATTGGGGAGAAAATAACCAATTTGTATTATTTTCTTTTAATAGAGACAGGGGTCTCATTATGTTGCCCAGACTGGTCTTGAACTCCTGGACTTCAGTAATTCTCCTGCCTTGGTCTTCCAAAATGCCAGGATTACAGGCGTGAGCCCCACTGTGCCTGGCCTCAAAATTTCATTATTAGCTAAGCACCTATTGATAAAGACAGCTATTAGACACTCTCCAATTGACAAAAGTGCTGTACCCCAAAAGCTTATAAATCTAATTTTTGAAAAAATTATAAATGAAGGCTAAGCTCCTAGTTCAACTCACAGGAGCATAAATGATCTTTGACATAGCTAACTGTACAATATATTGTAACAGCAAATGCTCAAGTGCTGAGTCCTGTGAATGGGGCTTGTGTCATACAGAAGATGAGTTTCCTCCCCATTCTTTGGTAAGAGACTGGAGGTTGGCAATGATTAAAATAACTGACTTTCATCCTGCAGCTTTGGCTCCCTTTCTAACCTAAACCCTGGTAGGGCACTCAGGCCTAACGGTGCTGCTATCCTACCTAACAAAGTGTTCCTTCTTCCAACACCCCTTTCTTGAGCCTTCAAGCAGTAATTTTATGACCCCAGAGCAATTGATGGACATTTCAACAAATAACCCAGGCAATATGATCACTCCTGTTATTTATAAAAGCAACAATATTAGAAATCTAAATGTTAATTTTAGAGACATAGTCAAATAAATTATGATGCATCCATACAACAGAATATTATACTACCATTCCACAAAATGTTTACAAACAAGCCAGGTGCAGTAGCATTCAGCTGCAGTCCCAGCCACTAGGAAGGCTGATGTGGAGGGATCGCTTGTGCCCAGGAGTTTGAATACAGCCTGGGCAACATATAGGGAGACCTCCATCTCTAGAAAAAGCATGTTTTTAATTAAAAATTTTTAATTAAAACTTTTTAATTTTTAAATGTTTAAAACAAAATGCTAAGAAAATAAGATACTAAGTGTCCTTTATGAACTCAACTGTGTAAAAAATGCATTGCTATAGAAGCAAATATAACACAATTGTGGGGTTAGAATTATAATTTATTGCTTTTTACCAGTTAGTACACTAATCTATGCTTTCCAGATGTTCCCATATCAGTTAAGTACCTCTTTTGTTATTTAAAAAAGTTGAGAGAGAGAAGTGTTCATAAATCTTTAATTGGCAGAATTATAGAGAGCTAAAAACAGTGCTAATTATCAGGCAATGTGGAAATGACCTTGTGGCCAAGAGAGCATTCCTTTTTTTTAACTGTTTAAAAAGAGTTTAATTAGACTTGTTTTAAACCTAAAATTGTAAGTTTTATGATTATAAAAATACTGTTTATCACTGTTACTGTTACAGCACTTTATAGATTCAAAAAACCTATTGATACTTCCTTTTTTGATTAAAGATAGTGAACGTTTATATATACATACACACATACACACACACACACACACACACACACACATATATAATACAGAAAATAGCAGGCATATAATTTAGAGAAACAGGGAAAAAAGTTATGAAGTGAAAATGTCCATCCCACTACAAACTCATTCCGAGATATAGCAATAGTCTTATTCACCTTCCCATACATTTTTCTTGCACATAATCCCATATATATTTATTTTGCATTAGTCTTTCTGTTATATACCTTATTTCATTTATATACCTGAGAAACATTTATATATTGGTATGTATTAATCCATTGCATCCTTTGTACATACTTATTAGTATTCTGTTCTATGGTTGTTAACACATTATTAGTCAGAAGTTATTCTCAGTTTTTCTCTATGATGAACAAGGCTTCAGTGAATATTACTATACAAATATCCTTATGTACATGAACAAGTGGATCCCTAAGATATAAATTCATAGGATTTTTGGGTCAGAGATTATGTGTACATTTAAAAAATCTGTGGTGCTACCAAATTGCCTTCCAAAGAATCTGTACCAATTTACATTCCAAGGGAACATTTCTGATCAACATAGATTCTTTAAAGCAGACTCCAGTGTTTTCAATGGCCAGGAAGATAACATAAGTTAGGGAAGCACACTGGGCTAAGAAAATGGCAAACTGGTTGGGTGTGGTGGCGCAATGCCAGCACTTTGGCAGGCTGAGGTGGGGGGATCCCTTGAGGTCCCTAGGGTTCAAGACTAGCCTGACCAACAAGATGAAACCCCATCTCTACTAAAAATACAAAATTTAGCCAGGGGTGGTGGCACACTCCTATAATCCCAACTACTCATGAGGCTAAGAGCAAGAATCGCTTGAATCCAGGAGGTGGAGGTTGCAGTGAGCCAAGATTATGCCACTACACTCCAGCCTGGGTGACAGAGTGAGACTCTGTCTCAGAAAAAAAACAAGAAAGAAAGGAAATAGCAAACTAGAGAGCACATTCAGTTATTCAAAGCAGCAGCATTTACTCAATTCCAGAGTACTAATAATGCTTTGTAGGAATATGCACCCATGTGCCCAATATTGTCTCATTGCTCACAAGAACCCAAAACTACTGACTTCTGCATGAAATCTTCAGGTTTTGTAAAATGTTGATAACTCATTCAAAATTTTAGAATTAGTGCGACAAACAAATAAGTAGGAATCCTCCCTGGGCCTCCAACTTGTGACCTATCTTTTAAAGCCTGCATTTCCCCCATATCCAAAAGACTGCCTCAATAGTAGAGGCTGCGTTCAGCAGATTGTTTACAAGCTGGGATTTCCTTCTACTACATTTTGCTTTTGGGTTAACTAGAAAATGGATTTTATTAACTATGTGGTCACTATCCCCTCAAACTATTGAAATAACTTCATCTACTCTGCCCAGATAATTTCATTAATCAGCTTCCTGCAATACATTCCCTTGCTTTCTATTTTTATTCCTTTCGAGTATTTTGTCTTCTTCTTTATATGAAACTACATTTTAAGAATTGAATCATTTTCCTATTAACATAATCTTCTTTTACCCAAAGGAAAATAAAATCTTTCTAATCATTTTTTAATACTACCTTGCATTCAACATATCCATCTACATATAGAAGAAATTGTGGGAATGAAGTAAATTAAAAAGATGCTGCCTCTAAATAGTATTTTTAATCTTTGTAAAATCTCTTTATATTAACTGTACTCTTATTTTTAAAATGTGAAAAAATAAAACCTGAAATAACTAAATCTATATTTTAAAATATTCTAATTCATGGTTAAAATATCATATTTAATTTTTTTTTCTTTTTGGGACAAAGTCTCACAGGTTGGAGTGCAGTTGCACAATGATGGCTCATTACAGCCTCGACCTCCTGGGCTCAAGCGATCTCACACCTAGCCTTCCCACCAGAGGCACATGCCACCATGCCCAGCTTATTTTTATGTTTTGTAGAGATGGGATCTTCGTAGGTTGTCTAGGCGAGTCTTGAACTTCCAGGCTTAAGCAATTCTCCCACCTCAACCTCTCAAAATGCTGAGATTGAACAGACAGAAGCCATCACACTCAGCTATTTAATATTTTATTATCTATCTCTCTTATGCAACTACTTGTAAAATAACTAATATGAAAAAGCCAATGTATTGTATGGTGAGAAACAGATACCTGTAAAGCAATATAATATTAAAGGTAGTTATCTATTTGAAAACTAACATGGCAGTGACTTACAATTAAATTTTTAAAAATGAAAACTTTATACATTATTGGCTTCAGTTACTATAAATAAAGCATCTGAATCTTAATTTTAGAGCTAATGGTAATTTCTAAATAATTCCTAAATTTCATGTAATCTGTTAAGATATATTTTGTTAACATTTAGAAAAGACAAGAGGAACAAGATAACTAAAACCAATGTATTAAAGAAGCTTTATAATTTAGCAAAACTTTCAACTTACATATCTCTCAAACATTACTGACAAACATAATGACTGCTCATGAGAAAATCTGTGTATGTCATTCTACAAACAATAATGTCATTGAATAATCTATTTTTAGTTTACAAGGGAAGATGCTAAACATTACAAATCCTTTCGATGGCATTTCTTCATGTGTGCATGTTCCTACTTCCTGTTCAAACATACGCTGTAACTATTCAAGTACGTCTTTTCAAAAGTAAACTGATTAAACCACCCAAAAATTAAAAAATCCAAAACTCAGTATTAGGCACATATCACTTGAACTTGACATTTTAATGACAAAAGCAAATTTAAGAAGTAAAAAAAATTAACATTTAAATTGTAATCTGCACATCATATTACTTCTCCAGATGTGTCAGAGCTCACAGATAAAAGTAATGAAAATAAATGTGGCAAAATACATTTTAATTTTACCTTCATTATAAATTAAAATGAGGCATAAGGAAAACATTGAGACCCAAATATATATATATATATGGAAAACTGGCCACTGAAAGATGCAAATAATTCATACAATATGCTGTAAGCTTTAATATATAAATTAGATGTCATTTCATCAGCTGCTAGTACATCAGTCTAAATTTTACAATATATATTAAAATATTAAAATGCTAAAAAAATCATTGTAATATAGAATACACTGTGGGAAAATACATATTTGTGGCTTTATACACAATCTAAATTAATCCATTCTATACAATAGCTTTCTAAAATATAAATGGCACTTTACATGCAAAAGAACATACCAGCTGGATGAACTCATCTATCAGAAAATTAGGAGAAAACACCCTTTTAACAAGACAGTTACAGAGCAGAAGTAGAATGCAGAATAAGATTTTGCCTTAATACAATCTTGGATAAAATTAATTATGAAAAAGAAGAGTCTCTACTACTTTCAATTAGCATTATAAAAAATAAAGTCTACTCTGATTGTGTATTTTCTAATTGTATCACAAACAGAGAAAACATAAAAGGGAAGAGAGAGAGAGAAACAGAAAACCTAATGATCCTTTATAAATCTGAAGCATCAGCCCTGCCTATGGGTTGCATTTAGGCTGCTTTTCCATCACATTTTCCCAAATTACTTCTGCCATTCTGAATTGTGCATCAGCAGTCAGATGAGTTTTCCAGATTTCATTATGCCATTGTATAACCATAGCTGCCACAATGTAGTGCCACAAGAAGTCTGTCCTTGAGTATTTCTTTACTTGGGTATTCAGGTAACTTGAGCATGTTGATGCTTTAAAAGAAAAATACACCACCATTAAACAGGAAATCTATAAAATTTCTCATTGTTTTGTCTAGCAGTGAAAACACTACTCATAATTAACATAAAACCAACCTCTCAAATTTGCATTCAAATTGAAAAACCCTAAAGTAGTATTTAAAAAGAAGAAAAAATCTGCTGCATTGCAGTTTCTTTCAGCATGCAAATGCAGTGGAAGAAAGTAAGTTCCTTTCAGCTTAAAATAAATAAGCAATAGGGCAATTTCAGTTGAAATGATGGTGTGTAACTGAGTGCTACTTATGACAGTGTAACTTTAGTGATACTTGAACTATAGTCAATTAAATTGTATAGGACGTTAGGGTTTCCACAACCATTTTACCTACCAAAAATAGGGGCCCAAAAAAACTACATAATTACTTATCGGTGACGCCAAAATCCTGGAGAGAGATCACAGCTGAGGTTTTCCTCTCAATACAGCAATAGTTAGACCTCTGATCATTCAAAATTAATCAAAACATTTGTAATGCATTTAAATAAACAAATTCAACATACCATGTGCTTGAAGTTGGTAAAAGATTTGGAGTATATGGTACAGCAGCAATTGTAAAGTTCTGTAATCCACTTCCACCCATGATATTAGCAAACCCTCCATGTGGGACCCTGGAACTAAGAGTTTATATCTTAATACATTGTAATCATGAAAGAAAGATATCTGGGACAGATAAATTTCAAGGTCTAAGTTACGGTAGGAATATATCCAACTTTAGGACAATGACAACATGACATTTTTTAGTCTACAAAACTCCAACTCATTACTGTAAGTTCCTTTGTGATGAGTCAGTAAGCTTTCATGGAGACACCCCTCCACATTTCCATAAGCTGTACTATGCTTGCAAGTGGACACAGCACATACATCAATATTGCACTTAGCATGCTACATTCACAACTGTTTGCTTTCATGTATCTCTCTATTGAAATGGGGCTGATTTGAGAGCCCAAACATGTTATATTTACATCTATATCCCTGGGGCTAGCAAAATGCCTGGAGTAGACATTCATTAAGTGTTTGCTGAATAGATTAATATTTGATTGATTAATTTGGGCAATAAATGCTCTGACATGTAATCCAAATGATTTTCTTATTTGTGAAAAATATCTAGGCCCTAAGGGATTTTTGTTTTATTTTGTTTTGCATAGTGAAAAAACTGAAAATTCTTTATGTTCCTCTTTGATATAAAGAATATCAAATATATATTTCAAACATCAACTAACATAATGAGGCCACAGGAAGGCTATCATATAATGCCTAACACATCAGTAGAAAATTATGGCTCACGCCTGTAATCCCAGCACTTTGGGAGGCCAAGACGGGTGGATCACAAGGTCAAGAGATCGAGACCATCCTGGTCAACATGGTGAAACCCCGTCTCTACTAAAAATACAAAAAATTAGCTGGGCATGGTGGCACATGCCTGTAATCCCAGCTACTCAGGAAGCTGAGGCTGGAGAATTGCCTGAACCCAGAAGGTGGAGGTTGCAGTGAGTCGAGATCACGCCATTGCACTCCAGCCTGGGTAACGAGTGAAACTCCGTCTCAAAAAAAGAAAAAGAAAATTAATCTTGGGTATATGGCTGTAGAGGATGTAATGACAACTTCTCAAGTACTATATACATCAAAAAGAAAATTAATATTTCTTCTAAAGTTAGCTTGTGTATGTATCATGATTAAACTGAAATTAAAAAATTCTAGGCCAGGCGCGGTGGCTCAAGCCTGTAATCCCAGCACTTTGGGAGGGCGAGGCGGGTGGATCACGAGGTCAAGAGATCGAGACCATCCCGATCAACATGGTGAAACCCCGCCTCTACTAAAAAAATACAAAAAATTAGCTGGGCATGGTGGTGCGTGCCTGTAATCCCAGCTACTCAGGAGGCTGAGGCAGGAGAATTGCCTGAACCCAGGAGGCGGAGGTTGCGGTGAGCCGAGATCGTGCCATTGCACTCCAGCCTGGGTAACAAGAGCGAAACTCCATCTCAAAATAATATAAAATAAAAATTCTATTGCTTTTTAAATGAAGTGCTGTAGTGCTTTTAGGATAAATTAGAATAATGACAAAATAACATTTAGTGTATAGATTACTAAAAACATACTTGCAAAGATCTGAAGACTTAAAGTATTTTCTAAAAAATAAATGATTTATAACATAAAGCAGAGTTTAGTTCACTTAAAAAAAAAAAGGTGAACCTCGACTAGCCTAAAGTCTTGAAAAAAAGAACAAAGGTGGCAGACTCACATATCCTGATTTCAAAACTGATTACAAAGCTGTGGTAATCAAAACAGTGTGATACTGCCAAGAAAAGAGACATACCAACCAATAGAATAGAGGCCAGAAATAACCCCTCACATACATAGGAAATGATTTTCAACTAGACTGCCAACAACATTCAAAGGGGAAAAGACAGTCTTTGCAATGAAGTGTGTTGGGAAAACTGGATATTCACAACAAAAATGAAGTTGGACCCTTACTTTATACTAAGTTACTTAAAAACTAACTCAAAATGGATTGAAGACCTACATGTAAGAGATAAGACTGTAAAATTCTTAGAAGAAAATATAAGGGAAAAGCTTCATAACAGCAGATTTGGCAACAATTTATTGAATATGACACCAAATTGATACCAGAATATATAAAGAATTCCCACAGAAAAAGAAAACAAAACAAAACAAAACAAAACAAAAAAACCCAGCCTGATTAAAAGTGGGCAAAGAATTGAAATAGACATTTCTTTAAAAAAAGATGCACAAATGCCCAATAAGCACATGAAAAGATGCTCACATCACTATTTACTAGGGAAATGAAAATCAAAACTTCACACTCATTAAGATGACTATTGGAAAAAAATAAATAGTAAAAAAAAGACAGAAAATCATAAGTATTGGCAAGGATGTAAAGAAACTGCTGCTGGGAATGTAAAAATGAAATTTCCAGAGGCTTTTCTGCCTCTGTGAAGAGTATGCCAGTTCCTCAATAAAATTAACAAAATTACAATACAGAATTACCATATGATCAGGCAATTCCATTTCTGGGTATATATCCAAAAGAACTGAAAGCATGGACTCAAAGAAGTATCTGCGCATCCATGTTCACAGCAGCATTATTCACAATAGCCAAATGATAGAAGCAACCCAGGTGTCCATCAACAGATGACTGAATAAGCAAAGTGTGGTGTATATATACAAGGGAGTATTATTTAGCCTTAAAAAGGAAGAAAATTTTGACCTGTGCTACAAAATGGATGAAGCTTGAAGAACTTATGCTAAGTAAAATAAAGCAATCACAAAAGGGCAAATATTGTATGATTCCACTTAGATGAAGTTCTTAAGAGCAGTCGAATTCGTAAAGACTTAAAAGTAGAACAGTGGTTGTCAGAGACAGTGGGGTGGAAAGGAGGATGGAGAGTTGGTGTTTAATGAGTACAGAGTTTCAGTTTGGAAAGATGAAAAATGCAGGAGATGGATGGTGGTGATAGTCACACATTAATGCAAATGCACTTAATTCCACAAAAGTGTACACTTAAAAACTGTTTAAATATTTTATGATATGCATTTTCACAAATGTAAACCCCCCACACACACACATACACACACCATACACACACACACCCCAACAGTTGAAAAAATGCACCAACATTGTCTATTTGAAATCACTGATGATATGTATACATCCACAGGGAAAAAAATCATTTAACAATCCAATATAAAGCATCCCTAAAAACAGCAATCTTCTCTTCTATCTGGGACGTCATCTGGTTTGGTTTACAGATGAAATTCCTGAACTTACCTTAGTAAACCAAGTCAATATTAAAAGTATGCCTGAATCTTGCTTATAAGACACTAATGCATAAACAATTCCTACTTACAGCAAGAGAATTTTATAAAGAAGACCTCGCTATATTACTTTGTAAGTTAAAATAAAATTTAACATTAATTCATTTATATATTTAACTTTTGCCTAAAAAATTAACAAGGTAACCAAACATGAAAAGGGATAAAAATCAAGCTGTTCTGAATTTCCTAAGATACAGAATTTCAAATTAAATTTAACTATTTTATCAAGACAAGATGAGAAAATAAATGTTGACATTGATTTTATACAAATTATAGCACAGTATTTCAATATTAGTATGATCAATCTAATGTCCTTCACACAAGGAAATTTTGAAAGGTAAGTTAAAAAATTCAGAAGATCCTCTAGTTTTAACATCTTAATTAAAATTATTCTATAAGCTGATATTCATGACCCATTCCTGAAACCTTACTCTTCTTTTCCTGCACTACGAATAAATACAGTTGGCCCTATACTTATATAATCAGATCTTATCATATTAAGATCATAATTTATAAGGTATAAGTATGTATGAGAAAAATTAATAAACAGTCTGGTTGAATATTATGACACTTAGATTATACAGTATAAAATTACAGTCAACAAAAATGGCATACTTCTATTGCATTTAAAAAGAAATGGGGTGAGTGTGGTGGCTCATGCCTGTAATCCCAGCACTTTGGGAGGCCGAGGCTGGTGGATCACTTGAGATCAGTAAGTAGATAGAGACCAGCCTGGCTAACATGGTAAACCCTGTCTCTACTAAAAATACAAAAATTAGCCAGGCATAGTGGTAGGGGCCTGTAATCCCAGCTACTCGAGAGGGTTGAGGCAGGAGAATCGCTTGAACCTGCAGGGCGGAGGTTGCAGTGAGCCAAGATTGTGCCACAGCATTTCAGCCTGGGTGACAGAGCAAGACTCTTTCTCGAAAAAAAAAAAAAGAATAAGAAAAAAGAAATAATCAAGTCTGATTCTTAAGGGATAATAAAATAGTAAAACATTTAAGATGGTCTTATAGAGCAACAAAATATTGTCAATACTAATAAAAATATTAAAAAATCACTTTTATATTAATTGTTGGTTCAACAATTGGAACACATTTGATTTTTCAGTAAGATTGCACTAAATTATACTACAGACCTGTAGAAAGATACTTCAATATCTAAAATATAAACAAATACAAAATCAGAATGTTCCAAAAATTAAAAAAGAAAAAAATTTACATTTTTGGTTTTGAACAAGTACTGTATCTATACTAATGACTGGGAGTTCAAGGTAAAAGTTAAGATTTTTAAAAGCTTAAAACTTTCTCAGTCTGAACTCAAAATACAGGACTCTAATTAGACTCAATGTTGAAGAGTGGATTCTTCACTCTGAGGGTGGAGCTAGGTCTGTGGTTTCCCGCAGCTTCCTTGGCTTCTACTCTACACCCACATCTTCTACCTCTATTCAAGTGGATCTGCCACACTTGATGACCTCAGCATTGCTAACAATGACTGTTCTAGTTAAAATGGAAAAGCCTTGTGTATTACTGTAAATTCTAGCGTTTTTTTTTTTTTACACTATAGGAGCAGCCACCTAAGAAACAACTTAGTACTAAAAAATTTGAAATAACTGATTTCTGCATCTTAAAGACTCATACTGACCAAATCATGGGGAAAAGATAATAATTCACTAAGTGGTGTTGAAGTATAAACCATTTAGGAAAAAATACTTCACAACATAAACCAAAATAAAGTCCAGAGGGCTTAAAAATTGAAATGTAAAAACAGAAATTATAAAAACTTACATTAAGAAATTTATATAAACTTATATATAAAATCTTAGGAGTAGGGAAGGATTTACAAAAACCACAAAGAAAATAATGATAATCAACTTGGGAATATGGTAATTTAAAACTTTCAAGTTATAAATTTAAAACACACGGAAATCCGTATATTTAACTTTGATAAATGAAGAAAACTATTTGCAGAGTTAATACCCCTAATATATAAAGAACATTTAAAACTGAATTTTTTTTAAATAATTGTGGAATACCGAAGAATAAAGGTAATTTATACCACACACACAAAAATTATATACAAGAAATTATATGAAAATAAAAATGACTATACCCTGTGCTGATAAAGGAGTAAGTTCTCTCATTCTCTACTGATATCAATACCCTTCTTCTAGAAGATAAATGAATACGTATCAAGATTATAACAATTTACATATTCTCATATACAAAAATTTCCCTTCTAAGAATTTATCCTCTATAACAGACTGCCCCTCAAGGATAGAAGCACAAGAATTCCTTATTTGTAGAGCATTATTCATAAATAGGAAAATTTAGCAATAAAGGATCAATTAAAGGAAGCCCCTAAAAAGAAAACTAGACAGCCATTAAAAATTACTAGAACAATTTTAATAATATATTGCTAAATTCAAAAAGTCATAACAATGGTTTTTAAAGTAAAAATTATATATGTAAATTTCTAAATATAACAAAATATAAATTTCTAAAAATAATAAAAATGTTATCAGTGATTATTTTTAGGAATACAGATTGGAGGTGATTTTATTTCTCTCCTATGTGAACTGTCAAATTGTCAACCTTCTTACATAGAAAATATAATTATTTTTTCATCCCTTTTATTAAGTTATTCAAGGCTCTGAGTATTTCTTGGCATTCAGAGGCAAAAAAACAAAATAATATGTTTTTTTTTTAAATATATTTAGCCCATACCTGTTATTAGTTGTTTTATTTATTTATTTTTTTTTTGAGATGGGGTCTCACTCTATCACCCAGGCTGGAGTGCCATGGCACAATCTCAACTCACTGCAACCTCCACCTCCCAGGCTCAAGTAATCCTCCCACCTCAGTCTCCCGAGTAACTGGGACCACAGGCATGCACCACCACGCCCGGCTAATTTTTGTATTTTTTTGTAGAGATGGGGTTTCACCATGTTACCCAGGCTGGTCTCAAACTCCTGAACCTAAGTGATCTGCCCGCCTCGGCCTCTCAAAATGTTACGATTACAGTCATGAGCCACCATGCCCAGCCTATTTATTTATTCTTTAAAATTATATCTATAGTGTGACTGCAACTATTTTTCTAATTATACAGTAAAAAGCCTTTTAAAAAAACACAAGATACTAATTGTAGTTATCTCTGAATAGTGGGATCACTTAACGGGATTTTTATTTTCTTCTATTTTCTCCATTTTCCAAATTTTGTACAATGATTAAACACTACTTTAAAAATTTAAAAATACACTTTTAGAGAATTATATATATATGTATTTTATATATATATATATATATATATATATATATATATATCCACAATTATGGTTTTTAAATATGCAGAAAAAATATAGAAGCAAACACATCAAAATTGTGTATAGTGGTTATTACTGATGGGCTATGGTTTTTCTTATTCTAATTTTCTGTTTTCTAACTTTCCTAGGAGAAATATGTACATTTATAATGAAAAAAGTGAATTACATTTTCACAAACAGAAGACAAAATTCTGTTATCAAAAGTGAAAATCAATTTTTTTTACATCTTTCAGAAATATAAGCTAAAAGATGGTTAAATCACCTAGTTTTCAAATCATCTAGTTATCTAATATCTATATATTTAACTGCTTCTAAAAGTGGACTTTTCAAAGAAATGTGGTACCACAAATTATTTTTTAGGCCATGAATCTTGACACTTTAAAGTTTACTATGAATTACAGAAAAATTATTGGGTATGGGTAATATAGAGTACATATATGAGTTATCCAGGATAAACTGAATTGTCTTACTATTAAACCAAACCAGTAATACACAGATGTTAAAAATTTGGCTACTATCATTGACCTACATACACAGCAAAAAGATTTCCAAATTATAAAGTACAATATTCTGATAGTCCTGATTGGAGGTGCTTTTTAATATATTAAATAAACATAATTTATCACTACTATAAATGTCTTATCTTTAATACTAAAATAAATCTTTCTATAATACCTAAAACAGTGGAAAGAGTGCTAAGTTACTGAAAATTCAGAGTAATAATTCCTCATTTTAGTCATTTCTAAGCCATTAAAAAACAGAATACATTAAATTATTTCCATATTATCATAAAAATACTTCTTACCTGCCAGTAACAAACTGCAAGAGAAGAACTCTCTCCTCTTGAGTAATGTCTTCCACAACTTCCCAGAACCACTAACAACAACAACAAAAAACCCTTAGCTCATATTTCACAGCAATTGTAGATTTCTCAATACCAAATAAATATGTAATATTCATAAAGCACATTTTATTCTATGAAACGTGTTTATCAAAAATGATTTCATGCAAAGCATTCATATGCACTATTCCCACAAGAATAATTTAAGGAAGCACTTTACTTTGTTAATTAATGTAAGTTTTCATCCAATAGTGCTGAAAAGCTTACAAAATTAAATGGCAAAACTTAACTTCATTCTAAACTCTAGAGAAATTTTACCTGAATAACTGGATCTTCTCTTTCATAGCCACTTGTGTATTCTGTATTTTTTATCCAATCACTCACATCAATTTCTGGCATACCAGAAAGTAGTAGCTCCTTGGGGGAAGAAAAAATATTTCAATAATCTTCTTTGGGGAAAAAAGTTATTACATTTTAATGGTAAATTTGCCTTAATTAAAAACTAATCCCAAGTAAAACTGATATATTTTTGTGACAGTTCCTGCATGTCATCAATAACAAGCATTACATGAGAGAGAATCATTGATGCTAATAATATCAAATTTTATAAGATGTGGAGATGTTTCCACATTGATATAATTTCATTAAAATATGTTTATATGCAAACATATGCAACAACAGTTTATACGTGCAAAAGTTTTATGAACATCATCTTTGGTTTACTTTATATTTTTACAATTCTTAGCCAAGTTGTTAACTTCTGTAAGGAGACAGTATTATCAACATGAAAGTGACAACAAAGACCTGAATACATACTTGACTAAACAAGAAGAAAATCATCAAGAAATCCTTATCATGAGGAAAAAGAAGGTAATACAAAAATAGTTACCATTTGTAAAAAAGATTTAGGCCTTTTAGGAATTCTATTCCAGAATAATTTGGATCTTTTAAAATCAATTTTCTCCAGTCAAAAAAAAAAAAAAAAAGCAATTTTCCTAATGACTTGATAGGTTTGTTTTTTCTAGGAAGATCATCAAACAAAGGCACAAAATCTCAATCATATAAGTAAAAATGAAATTAAGGACGCCAATGTATTTACCTTTTTGTTTTCCAAGGGAAAAGAGGACATGAAAAGAGCTTGTCCACCTCTCTGAATCAGTCCATATTTCACAGTTAGATATGTTTACACAGTCAGGGGAAGCAATGATTGGACTACATTTACACTGATAAGCCAGAACATCAGGATTTGTTATTTCAGGGACGTAGCTACCCCAGGACTCAAAATCATGTCTTCTATATGAGTAACTACTCATAACATATACCTGATCTTGTACCTTGAATAAGATTTATATAAGGCAACAACTGAGAACTCTTGAGTGTTTCTGAGATCTATTCAGTGGGTCCATGAGGTTCTCCCTTTTCCAGCTTATCTGTATGAGGTTGGATTTTCTTCATATCTTCCAACCAAACAACATATCACAACACATTGAACACAAAAGCAGTTATGAGGGCCCATTTGTCTTCTATTAAGCTAGACATTAAAGAAATTTGCAAAAATGTAAAACAGTACCAGTCTTCCCACTATTTTTGTTTTGTTCTGGAAAGTGCAATTTTAGTTTTTCAAATGTTATCCATGTTCATATATAATGGATTATTTCATGTGAATAAAATATTTTACATTTCTGTTTTAATTTCAAGTATAGTAAATATTCACTGATATAACCCACATAAATGAAAACTTTTTAATTGTAAGGGGTCTGAAGACCAAAAACTTTTACAACTGCTAGTATAGGGTGTGTTTTAGTCCTCCTAGTCAGAGTACTACAGAATCCTCTTCCTAGATGGTCATTAGTCTCCATTGACCACCCCAAATACATTCTCTACCTTCCTCTGCACTTTCGGACTGGCTGCCTTTTCCTGCTGGCCCTCTTGCCTGCTGATTTCGGGTTGGGTTTAGAGCCTGGGAAACACAGGCAGTTAGGCAGTTAGGCAGTTAGTCTGGAGGTGAGGGTATTCTATGCTCCCTCACTGCTTCGGCACCTCTTTGCAGTAGCTTCAGCTCCTCAAGCATGGCTACTGCCGGGTGGCCCCTCCTTGGTGGGTGAAGCTCCCACAGAGCTCCTCACAGGAATTCCTCTACCTGTCTCTTCAGTCCTAGGGATGATAAAGGCTTTCCCTGTTGCCAGTCTGTGGATGTCTCACTAGACCTTGCTTATTCTTAACACTGTCCGTATCTCTATAATAGCCCCTTTGTTAAAGTTTCAATATTTGAACCATCTGGGGAAATTCTGTTCTCTGGCAGGACTCTGATACAGATCTGCGAAAAGGGAGTGGGATAGGCTTTATGCATGTCTAATAATTCATGAGTTTAATCCTTTTCCCTTCTAGGCTGAAGATAAGCTTTTAATAATATTAAGTATGCTTTCATTATTCGTAATTATGAATAAAAATGACTAATATTATATTCTCTTAAGAAATTTGAAGCACTTTATGAATTCACTTTATGAATATCACATTACTTGTTATAATTTTTTTGAAGAAAGGATCTTTATTATCCCATCTAACAACTGAGCAAAAAAGTTATTAAACTGACCAAAAACAAATAGATGAAATCAGAATTCCAGAATAAAAAGTACATAAAACAAAAATGTTTTAAGTCCTAGTCAATTTTTTTAAATACAAAAAAAAATTGAATTCTTCTGTTGGAACTGTGTATATAACTCATACTAATAGTTAGAAACTAAATCACGTAAGTATTCATAGCCTTCAGCTTACTTAGTATTGCACGACTCAATATTTTTACATTCTGGTTCTGTCATGGATAAATTCACAAGCAGCACAGTATGGAAGAACAGTCTACAATGGATGACTATACTTCCATTCAAGACAGTGGAGCTACTTGATACCTCCTCCTCACTAAAACTCTAGACTTTAACCTGAATCCTTTAACTCAGATGCACATCTAGCTTAGATGTTTACACCAAATTTTTTAAAAGGTTCCTTTCTCAGTGTAGCACAGCCCTCCCCTATGAAAGACACAAAGTCACACAAAAAGTTCAAAAGCCAAGTCCCTCTGATTTCTCATGCCACCAAGAAGCAGACTGGCAACACTGATGGGATCTGGGGTCAGGGAACATTAGTTTGCAGCCTAGCACTACTGTACTAAGATATACCATGAGTGATACATTAAAAATACTGATACATATATAAAATTAACAGAATATATCGGTATCTATATCCATTTACTAAAATGAAAGGCATAGGGTAAAACTAATTTTCTGACAATAAAATCCAAAGAAAACATTTCCATGGACCTGGAACTTACTATTCCAAATTATAATTTTTTAGATAAGAAAGCAGCTATATTCTATTTAAGATACTGTGCTTTATTAAGATTTAGATAACTCAAAGAGTTTCAAAATAATTCTCCAAATTACCAAAAAAGAAAGAAAAAGAAAATGGAGAAAATGCAGACATAAATCATATAAAATTAGAAATCCTGTTGGATCATAGTATAAGAAAGGCAAATTAAAGTAGCAAAACCAAACATTCATTAGGGACTAGAGGACAGCAAAAATGATGAACTCTATAGGTTTGAAATGAAGAATTATAAAATTATATATATGGCAATATAAGAAACTGAAGAAGATAATACTATACAATAAGGAAAACCTTCTTAATTCTTTTTAGAAGTTTAAAGAAGTTAGTATCAGCATCTTTTACATCATGTGGTCAAATAAAGAATTCAGAAATAATATAGAATACTGCATATAGGAAGACTGGCCTTCAATATCTCCCATACAGAAGCAACAGAAATATATTACATTTTTGTTCGCCACCACCTCAATCATTTCACATTAAGAAGTTGTTAATCTGGTTATTAAACTTAAGAGAAGCACATCCATAAATCTTATACAAATCTCTAAAAATGAGCATTCAACCATTTTGTCTCATTTATACATTTTTTTCATTCATTATAGTACTCCACAATTATTTCTGAATTATATCAACTAGAGTTTTGTGTTGTGTAATGACATAAGAACTGATGTTTTTCCTTACCAATTCATATTCATCAAAAAGCTGTATGAGGGAAGGTGGAATGAACATATGAAAGCCCTGTAAAAAAGCATTGATCTGAGGCTGAATGGCTCTTGTCATTCGAAGTTCAGTAACAAGCTGGACGTACTCCGCCTATTGAAAAAGAAGTTTTCATAATGACTTTTTAAAAATATCTTACATACTTAAGATAATGTTAATATAATTATTTATTTAAGATGTAAAGGTTTAAAACAAAATTGACACCAATACTCATACATCTCAGCAAACCAACAAGCCACCATTCACTAAGCTGTTTAGGCAAAAATTCTAGAGAATAAATCATCCATGATTTCTCTCACACTCTATTTCAGCTGATGCTTGCTATCAGATCTACCTTTAAAAAAATATCCTCAATCCTTCATTTCAGCATGCTGGTTCAAGCCATCATCACTTCCCATCTGGATTACTGCAACATCTGGTGTCCGTTTCCATTTTTGTCCCTGTACTTCTGCTTCTCCACACCTTGGTCAGAGTGATTTTTAAAAATATGTATGTATATACACACAAAGAAATATATGTATGTGTGTGTATATGTAAATAACTCAGATCAGGCAACTCCCTTGCTCAAAACCCTATAATGACTTCTCATGACATCTGGAGTAAAATCCAAATTCCTTTCCTAGTCTCTAAGACCCTCAACGATCTGGCCCTGCCCTGCTTCTGATCTCATTTCTTTCCATTCTCTACCTAGCTCATTCATTCACTCAATTCTAGTTTCACTAGCTTTCTGGCTATTCCTGAAACACAAGCTTGTCCAGGCCCCAGTATGTTTATACTTCTAGGTCATTCTCACTGAAATGTCTCATTAGAATGTAATCTCTCTGTAGACAGGGGCTCTGTTTTACCAATATATATATACACGGAAACTCTTAAAAAGTGACTGCCACTTTGTAAGTATTCATAAAGTATGTGATGAATGAATGCATACAATCATCAAATTCACTTAACACATCCTTAGAACTTAATAAAATGACTGTTTGTAGCATAGCCAATTCAATTCTAAGTTAAGCTATGTTTACCCATTGTATTTTGAAATACATCATAATCTCAGGAAATATTGTTACTTAAAATTTAACAGGTAATAAATAAGCAGGGCATGGTGACCATGCCTGTACTCCTAGTTACTAGGGGAGGCTGACGTGGAAGCATTGCTTGACCCCAGGAGTTCGAGTATACAGTGAATTATGACCATGCCACCATACTCTAGCCTTAGCAACAGGGCAAGACCCTGTCTCTTACAGAAAAAAAAAATGAACTGGTAATTTAAAAAATGTATTTCGGCTTAGAACAAAATGAATTATATACAGAGAGAAAAAGTATCTGTGTGTATACATATATAAACTATCAGATGTTATCATTTATATATTTTTTAGTTAATTGTAAGTGAAACTTTGTAAGTTAAAAGCAATATGCTATAGCAGGTATATAGCTCCCACCTACTAGGAATTAATATTCCAACAGGGAAGAAGTCTGTTTTAGCCCTCTTCCTTTGTTCTTTTTTGGCACTAATCTGATGCTCTGTTCAAAAACAAAAACAAACAACAACAAAAACAAACAAAAAAACAGGGAAAAAAAAGACCAAAAAAGGCACTGAGCCAGCAAGTTCTACATGACTGCTAGCTATGAATTCTCCATAGCTCTCAGAGCTACAGACCTGTCAGGGTAGATTCCTCAAAACCCTGTGTGGCTCCTTGTACAATTTAACACAAGGAAAGCTACCGCCTCTGCTATCAATCTACTCCTCACCCCAAATCCTACTTTCCACCAACCAAAGATGCAAGTTTTTCTCCACTGTACAGGAATTAATCAGTTACAAGTTACATACAGGTAGTTATTATAGAGAGGGAGACAGAAATGTGTGCTCAACAGTCAAACAGAAACATACACTAAATTTCCAGAGTCCAGCCCAAGAAATAACATGTATAAACCATTTTATAGTGATTACAGAAGTGTCTGCATTAGCACACGATTATATTTTTGTTTGTCTACTCTCACTAAAACTGTTGACTGGATGTACTAAAAATTTTCTGCCCCATTCATATAATTATACACCTATGTTTTTTAAGATGCCAGAAAAGACCCTATTCTTCCCTAAAACTGACTTTTTTCCAAGAGGTTCTGGCTTTACAATCTTTTTTTTTTTGAGACAGAGTTTCGCTGTTGTTACCCAGACTGGAGTGCAATGGCCGATCTCAGCTCACCGCAACCTCCGCCTCCTGGGTTCAAGCAATTCTCCTGCCTAAGCTACCGAGTAGGTGGGACTACAGGTGCGCACCACCATGCCCAGCTAATTTTTGTATTTTTAGTAGAAACGGGGTTTCATCTTGTCGACCAGGATGGTCTTGATCTCTTGACCTCGTCCAGCCTCAGCCTCCCAAAGTGCTGGGATTATAGGCGTGAGCCACCAGGCCCAGCCAGCCTTACAATCTTAAAGTGCGACTCAATAATCTCTGTTGAAGACTTTAACAATCATGAAGCGTGAAAATAAAAGATTTGTGAATTGCTAATGTAAATGTTACCTATTTTAATTGTATTCCGTAGCTATCAGAATAGTATTCTTTTTACTAATTACTATTATTTCCTTTCTATTTTTAAATTAATTTTTACAAATACGCTCTTTCATCATACTTGTTCTTCTCTTTCTTTTAATATTTATTATTTCCACATGCATTGCAGTAACTCACAGTTGTTGAAACCAGTTTGTGAAAATCAGCTCCTTCACATTCCAGTCTTCATGCTAATTAAGTAATTTAAATGTGGATGGCAGTTAAACTAAATTATTTTTCTTTTTTGTTTTTCAAGATAATTAAATAGTTTATTGATCACACACAATAATGGATAATACACAAGCTTCATTACCATCTATAATTTTATCTGGTACCATTATTCAATTTAGATATATTACATAGGATGTGCCAACAATCATTTTTATAACCAATAATTCCACGATTTTGCTTGGGTAATCCCTTTTAATGGTGAACTTCAGGTCACAACAGTAACTATCAGTTTAACTACACCAAGGTTTCTGAAGACAATGGCTTCTCTATGCAAGCAGGTTGTATATAAATTCCAAATAGAACCTGGCATCACCCTGAAGGAATTCTAACTTCACACTGTTGGGGAAATTTACCAAGATGGCTTCAGAGTAGGCTAACTTTACACAGCACGTTAAAAAAAAAACAAAAACATTTATTCAGTGTCACGATCAGACTATTACATTTAGCAATCAACAGCATGGGTGCAAAAAAAAAAATCTACATTAAAACCCTTTGTTGGAATGCTTTACACTTTCCACAGAGCAGAAACTAAAATAACCTGTTATACAATTAGTCACAAATACAGTCCTCGAGTTTTTTGCCAATACACATGAGTATTTGACTAAATCATGTCTTCTTTGTAGCAGGTAGGCATCTGTTGTAACCTCTGGCTCTCCTCTCCTGCTAAGCTTTGTTTCCTAATTAGAATCTTCTGCCACTGCCATAGCTACTGTGCTACTGGAACCGCCACAGTGACCTTGGTTTCATGGTTTGGCAAAGTATTGGCCATCACCACCATAGGGGCCATAGTTTCTGCCTCCAAAGTCTCCTCCTTTCATGGGTCCAAACTCTGAAGACTGATTGTTGTAACTGCCAAAATCACTGTAGCTTCCACCACTTCCAAAGTTGCTTCCATCATTACCAAATCCATTATAGCCATCCCCACTGCCACCATTATCCACCACCACCATGGCTGCCACCAAAGCCACCATGACCACTGAAGTTTCCTCCATGACCAAAGTTGTCATTCCCATTGAAACCACCTCCACGACCACCACCAAAGTTTCCAGAACCACTTCAGCCTCTGGCTGGATGAAGCACTCACCAGCTCTTGCTCTGACAGGGCTTTCCTAACTTCACAGTTGTGGCCATTCACAGTATGGTCTTTCTGAATGACAGCCTTATCCACGGAGTCATGGTCGTCAAAGGTTACAAAGGCAAAGCCCCTTTTCTTGCCACTGCCTCTGTCAGTCATAACTTCAACCACTTTAATTTTTCCATACTGTTCAAAATATTCTCTTAGGTGATATTCTTTAGTGTCTTCTTTAATGCCACCAACAAATATTTTTTTCACAGTTAAGGGGACACCTGGTCTTCGAGAGTCTTCTCTTGAGACAGCTCTCTTTGGTTCCACAACTCTTCCATCCATGTTGTGTGTCCTTGTATTCATGGCTGCATCCACCTCCTCCACAGTAGCATACACGAGGAACCCAAAGCCCCTGGAGTGCTTGGTGTTTGGATCTCTCATTAACACACAGCCTGTGAGCCTTCCCTATTGCTCAAAATGGCTACTCAGGCTCTCATCAGTTGTTTCAAAGCTCAACCCTCCAATAAACAGCTTTCTCAGCGGTTCAGTCTCTTCTGGAGACTCTGACTTAGACATGACTATGGGGAGAAGAGAGACTTTAACAATGCTTCTTCAGCGGCATCCACAGGCAGAAAGGTATTTTTCAATAAAATAATGAAATCTAGCTATCAAAACCCTTCTTAATTTTTCAGTAATGTAAGAGTTTTTCAAACAGTTAAAAGATAACTGTGTTTAACAGATAAATCTAAGTCAAACTCTTTCTAAGACATTTCCCTGCCTCACTAGACAGTATACCTTCAAACAGAATAAAACAAATTAATATCATCATGACAATACAAATTTTACTAAGCATACCAGTACTTTTACCCAGTAATACGCCAATCATTCATGTTGTGTAGAACAGAGCTTTGCTATCTCACTGGGACCGAGCTCCAAGGATAAGGGGTGACCGCCATATCGGCGGTTCTCCAGCCTGCTCCAGCCTGCTGGCTTTGGAGAATACAGGCAGTCCAGCAAGGAAGGGTCCCCCTCAAAGCAGCACACGTGCTCCACCAAAAAGCAGTCAGACTGCTTCTTTTGGCAGGTGACTGGTTGAGATCTCCCAACAAGCAGTCTCCAGCCACCTCTTATAGGTGCGGGCAGGCCAACAACAGGTAAGCACCCCATAGGACAGAGCCTCCAGAGGAAGGACCTGCCTGCCATCTTTGCTCTTTCATGGCATTCACTGCTGATACCTCCAGGTATGGGAGAAACCAAGCCAACTGGGGTCTGAAGAGAACGCCCGGCAAACCACAGCAGCCCTACAGTAGAGTGGCCAGACTACTAAAGGAAAAACAAATGAAGAAAAAACAACGATATCAACAAAAAGACCGCACAAAAACTTCAGAGGTCAGCTACCTCAAAGATCAAAGGTAAAAATGAGAACACATGGACACAGAAAGGGGAGTACTAAACACTGGGGTCTATTGGGGGGAAAAGGGGAGGGCCAGTGGGAGGGGGAGGTGGGGAGGGATAGCCTGGGGAGAAATGCCAAATGTGGGTGAAGGGGAGAAGAAAAGCAAAGCACACTGCCATGTGTGTACCTACGCAACTGTCTTGCATGCTCTGCTCATGTACCCCAAAACCTATAATCCAATAAAAAATTAAAAAAAAAAAAAAAAGATCAAAGGTAGATAAGCCCAAAAAGATGAGAAAGAAACAACACAAAAATGCTGAAAACTCAAAAAGCCTCCTCTCAAAATGACTGCAACACCTCTCCAACAAAAGCACATAACTGGTCTGATGCTGAGATGGCTGAACTGACAGAAATAGGCTTTGAAAGGTAGGTAATAAACTTAATTGAGCTAAAGGAGCATGTTGTAACCCAATGCAATATGAAGCTAAGAATCATGATAAAGCAATACAAGAGCTGATAGCCACAAAGGTCAGCTTAGAGAGGAACGTAACAGACCTGATAGAGGTAAAAAAACAAAGCAGGTGAAAAACAGGAGAACTTCAGGATGCAATCACAAGTATCAATAGCAGAATAGACCAAGCGGAGGGTAAAACCTCAGAGACTGAAGACTATCTTTCCAAAATAAGACAGGCAGACAAAAATAGATAAAAAGAACAAAAAGGAATGAATAAAACCTCCAAGAAATATGGAATCCTATAAAGAGACCAAACCTATGACTGATCGGGGTATCTTAAAGAGCCGGGTAGAATGGAATCAAGTTGGAAAACATACTTTAGGATATCATATAGGAGAACTCCCCCAAATTATCAGGACAGGTCAAGATTCAAATTCAGGAAATGCAGAGAACCCCAATAAGATACTCCACAAAAAGATCAACCCCAAGACATACAATCAGATGTGTCTTCACATCAGGTTCCCCAAGGTCCAAATGAAAGAAATGTCTTATCAGCTGTTGTCAGTGTGTTTCTGAGGCAACAGCAACAAAACAGTGATGTTTTAACAATACAGATTGTTCTGGCATCAGATTTTCATTAGCAATGACCTTGGCAAATTCATCAATGAATTTCTCCACTGTTTTGTGATCAGGAGATGCTCTATTGCCATAAATCTTTAAAAATTTAACGTATCTTTTCTTAAATTACTGCAACTAGACTACTGAAAAGTCACAGTTCCTTTCCATTTTCACTTCATTTTGAGGGAATCTTGGTGTGTAAAAAAAATATGTACATGCAGCAGAAGGGGGCTGGAAGGGTTTTCTTTCCTTTGGGGATACTGAATCAACTATATGTTGTATGCTTGTATTCTGAGTGCCCACTGGTCAGAGGAGATCAGAAACTTACCACTTATGGTTTCACGTCAGTACTCAAAAAGTTTCCGACTCTGGGGCACTCTGAATTATGGATGCTCAAACTCTATACTTTTTTCTTTCTTTTTTTTTGAGACAGAGTCTTGCTTTGTCGCCAGACTTGAATGCAATGGCATGATCTCCGCTCACTGCAACCTCCGCCTCCTGGCTTCAAGCAAATCTCCTGCATCAGCCTCCCAAGTAGCTGGGACTACAGGCAGACAGCACCATGCCTAGCCAATTTTTATATTTTCAGTAGAGACAGGGTTTCATCATGTTGGTTGGCCAGGATGGTCTCAATCTCTTGACCTCACGATCCACCTGCCTTGGCCTCCCAAAGTGCTGGGATTACAGAAATGAGCCACTGCATCCAGCCCCTGTATACTTTTGTAAAGATACATATAAAGAATCTACTTTAAGTCAATAATCTATGGATAAAAGTGTGTTTTGTGTTTGTATGTGCATTAAATATGTATGTTAAATAAATCAAGCAAAGCTAGCCATAAAAACTTAACCATATAAAACTAGCAATAAAACCATATTAAAATGAAATTGATAAAACATACTAAATTTGTATTTGCTACTTTGTTCATTTTCACTGCCTTAGTAAATGAGAAGCCTAGCAGTTACTCTAATGGATGTCCATTTAAAAAAAGAAAACATCAGTTACAAGTTTTGTGTCCCTGGGCATTTATTTAACTTCTAAAGAAATGTAGTGTTGTAGTTACAAGCAGGCTTGAGTGCTCACCTTGGCAGCACATATACTAAAATTGGAATGATACAGAGAAGATTAGGATGGCCTCTGCACAAGCAGTCTTGAAATGTACAGACTGCATGGAGAAAGCTATTTAGCTCCTATATGCTTCTGTTTCCTCGCCTGTTGAAAGAGGTATCTCCACCTCACAGAGTTAAACACAATACCCATAAGTCATGTCAAACAGTGCGTAGCACATTATAAAAACCTAATATCAAAATTTTTTAATATTAAGGCCATTTCTACACTGAATAAAGAGAAACAACTATCTCAAGAGGCTGTTACAGGAAATGAGAAACACAAAGAACATAGTTCAGACACATGAAACACACAAAGTACTCAATAAGTAGTAATTACTATCACTAGAAAACAGAACTAATGATAATGAGGTTGATGAAGAGTAGGAGGGCAACACTATCAGTCATTGGGTCACCCAATCCACAAAAGTGGCAGTCACCCTTGAGTTCTTCCTCTTTCACATCTTCCCAATTGATTACCAAGTTCTATAAATTCTATTATCCTCACAAGCTTAAAAGCTATCCCATTTTCTCCATCGTCACTGCCACTGCCTTAATTCCTCATGCATGCTTCCCCAAACCAAAATGCCACAGCCTCCTCTCAGTTGCTCTGACTCCAGTACTGCCCCATTTCAACCCATTCTTCACACTCCAAGCTGATTCAGTTGTTTCTTGGGGGTTTTTTTTAACTGAAATTTGATCATATCACTTCTCTCTTTAACATCTGCAATCATCCCTATAGACTTCAGAATAATTTTCGAATTACTAATTGTGTATGCAAAGTCTTTCAGAATTTGGCCACTTTCTCCCTTCCCCACATCATCCTTTTCTATTTGTTTACTTTGCAACCTAAGCTAAGCTCCACAACTCTGATCTGTGGTTTCCCAAACACATCATGTTCTGTGTCACCTCTGTGCCTTCTTGTAAGCCCAGAACATTTCCTTCTTCCCATCCTTACTCCTACCTGACCACTTAATGCTTCACCTCTATAATTTAACTTCCACACCACTTCATTCATTCCCTGATATCCTGCCCCACTCTACTATCTTCTTTTGTCTTTCCTCCCAGGCTGGATGAACTTTATGACTAGTATTATAAAAGTGACGCTAACATTTAAACCCCTATAGCTTCAGTTCTAAAAACTAGAACTGAAGATATGAGCAAAAGAGGCCACATCTAACTAATTTAAGAGCATTAAATTTCAAATGTGGAACTAATATGTATACATTTGCCTATATTACTTGCATTTATTTATGTAACATACTGCTTTTTAAATTAAAGGTATTTTCATCTATTTGGTTTCACTTTATAATCACCAAAGCCTTTTAATAAAATTTGGGAATAAGTGACTCCCCCACGTGGAGACTGGTTTACATAGGCCCTCTAACAAGTTTAGCAAGTAATTTAAGTTTCAACAGTTCAAAATTATAAATTAAGTTTATATTTCTAATCAGATTTCTCAAAATGCCTAGGCCTAATTTATACTATCAGCTGAAATGCTCTAGACTTTTTTAGGAACCACCTCAGCATTGCTAGCACAATTAACAAAATAATCCTTTCTAAATCAAAATTTAATATTTGATGGTTTTGTTAACTTAAATGTTTTATCTGTTATTAAATTATAACAGTAAAAGTTTTTCTACAAATGCCAGAAGAACTTAGAGTAACTAGCAAACTATCAGGGCCAAGTTACAAACAATGGTTAAGGCAAAAACTTAAGTACTTACTTTGTTATTCTGTGTCACAAGAATACTCCCACCTCCAGGTTTCAAAGGCACCTCTTCCATTGCTCCAAACACATCAGTCTCAACAGAAAAAGTTAGTTCTAGACCCAGATCACTTATATCATTATCTAAAATCCACTGCAAATTTTTGGCATATTCTGGATCAATGGATGCCACATCTTGGTAATTTACAGGAATACCTACAAAATGCAAACATACAGTAGTTATAGACTAAGTGTTTCTGCCTCCCTTCTCTATTTAACGGTAGTATACTGCCCTCTACAGATACTCTGAAAAACTGCAAAATATAATATAATCCTATTCACAGCATGTTTTAAATGGATTCCTGAATTTGAAGTCTGTTAAATTAAGCCTGTGTTTCTTTCACATTATTACAATGTAATCTTTCTTTGAAATAGCTATTCAGGAAGTTATTATAAACTTCAAAAGTGCCAACTATCTTAAGTATACTCATATTGGAATATATTCTTAGCATAAACATATACACACTAAAATGTAAAAAAAAAAAACTTAGCTAAAAGTGTTTGGAAAAAAAAAAAGGTAGGTCATTTTTTTTCTCCCTCCAACTCCAATGCTTTATATATACAGATGGCCTCCAATCAAAATAAAAATTATCTCATCCAAAATGCCACTGCTTATCTAGTTTTCCTCAATCTGAAAGAAAAACAATATAAATAAATGTCTGCATCAATAATACTAGAGCCATACCAAGAATGTGCTTGTAGAAGGATCGTGTGAAGTAAATATTGACCAGCTGCCTGTGGTTCAAAGCTAATCCCAAGATCTGCCCAGCAAAACGAAAATAGTTCAAGTGATCAGGATTTACATAAGAGTTGCTATTAGGCTGAAAAGTTGTTCCTATTGAAATAAATACAAAATATTATTAAGAATCTATAGGCAGAAGAAAGATTATTTCAATGCAGATAAACTAATTCACATACAACTTCAGCAAAGCTAAGGTTTCATTATGTATAAACTTCCAGAGAAATGTTCTTTGTGGAATATATAAAAGGTGGTAAGCAGAACTGTAAGTACAGATGATAATCATTAATTCATACATATTTATCACAATAAGTCTATGGCAGAGAGACAACGTTAGAGTACTTTTGACTGAAATTAGTTGGAAGGTCATTATTTCCACACCCTGGAAATAATACAGCAAAAATCATATGCACACGTGCGTACGCGCACACACACACACACACACACACACGCACATGCGTGCATATAAACACAATTTCCTAGGCAGTATGGCAATAGGCTGTTCACTAGGACAGACATTATCCCATTCATCTGTATATGCCAGTGCAGTGAGTATTTGCTAGTTTCTGCTTCTTTAAGAGTAGAACACTATGAGAGTAACTAAAAAATTTAAATTTACAACTGTTCTTAAGTGACAGACCTAGTCAATGAACTTGATGCCTGTTCACAATGATTAGAAAAACACCCCAGTCAACAAGGTAACCAAGTCTTCCTAATGGCAAACAATTAAGTTTAAACAATTACCTCTGAGGTGAAAGTAAAAATGGCAAAGGCAATAGTTATCAATTATTGAAAATCTAGTGCAATGGAATATCAATCCACTTTTATAAATTATCTAGAATAGGGAAATTTATAGATATGTAAAGTAGATTAGTAGTTACCTAAGGCTGAAGAAAGGGGAAATGGGAGATATTGCTTAACGGGTATGGAAGTTCTGCCTGGGATGATGAAAAAGCTCTGAAAATAGATAGTGGCCAATGGTTACACAACATCATTAATCTTCTTAAATGCCACTGATTGTATACTTTCAAATAATATAAATGGCAAATTTTATGTGGAGTTTATCACAGTAAAAAAAAATTCTCAAAAACAAAAAACTAATACTAGTTAAATGTTAAAACCTAATGCCAAAACCTCAACTTTAAATAACTCTGTTCCTATTTTTCGTACTTTTCTGTGATGGCCACTAATTCATATTACAAATTCATTCAACAAACATGTCATGAGCTTATCCACATACTACTATTGTAAATGCCTGGGCTAAAAGAAAGAATAACTGATAAACCTAATGAAATAGCATCAAAGAAAAATAAAAGGTAGAAACGTATTGGAAAGTGAAATGCTTAGTCATTGAACATATATATTTTGACAATAATTCACTCTGTGTTTCATTGGTCTTTGATTTCTCAGCGTTAACACAAGGTTAAACTGCTGACTAGTTTATTTAGATATAAGGTACAAATTTTGAAATCTATGGGAATAACTTCAGTAAGTCATGTGAGTCTCATCATTCACTGTTAAGGACCTCTGGAGAATAATTCCCTGTCATAAAGCAACACCCGATATTAAAATTCAAAGCAAAGCTTTGTGAGATAAAGGCAAACTTCAAAGACAAATATAATCATAATCCCAAAAATATAATATTCTGAGAATAATCACAAATATTTTTTACCTGAAAAATAAGGAATGATTAGGGCTATGGACCAACAAAAATTTCTGATGACTCTATTTTCCTCCCCTGGCTCTGTGTTTAATTTTTTCTCTAATTACTTTCTGAAAAATCTGGATTCTTAAAAGTATAGATAAGGAGAATTTTAAAAAAAAGGAAACGAGAAAATCTTCAGAAAAGGAGTAACAGTTTTTAACTTGAAAATTAGTTTAAATAGAATTAAAAGTTTACGTCAAATTTTAAATTCAAAAAAATACATAGCTATGACCCTCCCAATTCTGTTCATGGTCTCAGAAAAATACACACACACACACACACACACACAGAAATTACAAAATACAAAAACTAGCCGGGCGCTGTGGCAGCTCTCCCAGCTCAAGTGATCCTCCCACCTCAGCCATCCCAGCTACTCAGGAGACTGAGGTGGGAGAGTCACTTGAGCCTGGGAGGTCAAGGCTGCAGTGAGCCAAGATCAGGCCACTGCCCTCCACCCTGGGTGACAGAGCGAGAATCTGTTTCAAACAAACAAACAAATCTTTATGGGTCTATGTACTTCAACATTTGCTCTGTTATAAATCTGTTACATTAAGGAAGTACTTCAACTAATGATTCCACACCAAATCTGTTTTTGAGATACTGAACTAAATCGACTTAGAATAAAGGATATAAAGAGAAGAAGTAAGTCTAAAATATAATGCTAGATCTATTTTCAAAGATTAGGCCTAAATAATTAAACTCAAGGCTTCACTGAACTTTTCATTCACAAAGACACCAAATTTACCTCAGAGCAAAGAATCAAAGGTTACCAAGTTAAAGCAGGCAGTACCATGTTCCTAGGTGATTTCAAATACTCAAAGGTGTATCCAAGAAGCCCATCACAGGGATGAATGCCTGCAGCTGCCTAGCTCTATTGCGGCCCACTCTCACTTGCCTCCCCTAAAATCCTCCTTCTTATCAAATGGGGATTTACTGCTAATTTGGTTGGAAGCAATCAGAAGCTACAATTAATGAAGTATTCTCTCCTTATAAAAGAATGTAAACATTGGGCAAAGGAAAGATTTTTAGGAAAAACAAGCAACTGTACAAAGCATTTGAAAACTGAAATCCCACCTTACTTGGAATATGTCTTTATTAAATTAGAGAGTTCTCAAATATGCCTCAGACAAATGAGGTGATAACTAATTCCATTTAGTTTACAATATCAAATTACAACTCTAGGTCACAAGCACCATTTCAACAAAGAGAGTTAATTATCTGTATGACATGGTTAAATAAGAGCTTTGTAGTAGCCAGGTCTTGATCTCTTTAAATGACTGAAAATAGTTAGTATACATAAATAGATTAAGAGCTGAAATTTTACATCATGATTTCTAGGCTTTGGTTTTCCTAAAACCAATATATTTTAAAACTTGGAAACTCAAATAGGGTTAGCAAATTTTTATTTTTCCAAATAGGGACTTTTATTTAAGTCCATCTAAAAGCACCATGAATCTATGAAAAAAAATTGACCTCAAAAAAGTAGACTAAAGAACAATACTTAAATTGAACAAATTTAGTTTTATTTTACAAAGGACTGATAAGAAACCTCCTTGGGGCCAAGAGTCAAGTTCCACTTATGATTCTACCATTTATTAACTCTGTGAATGCAGATAAAAACTCTGAATTTTGGTTTTCTCATCTATAAAATAAGAGCATCCTGCCTAGCTCACAGGTCTACTGTGCAAATCAAAGATAAAGTGTACTGAAAGAGTATGAAAAATGCGATAAGTTGCAGAAAAAGTCATCTAGACCGTACAACTTACCATCAGCTGACTGGGTAAACAATGCATAATCAGGATTGACTATCTCATTGGACAGAATATCAAACCACTCACGCACAACACCTTGACCCTAAATTCAAGAAAATAAAATTCAGCATCAACATAAATATGTTATATAAGGAATGTTTTTCTAAATAACAAAATTTAGTTTTCTTCCTTTATCAACTAAATATCAAACTTTATTCAAAGGGCATTTCAATCTTTCTTCATATACAGTGATTTCTACATCGTCTTCCTTTGTACCCACCATGCCTTCTTCTCCATGGAACCGTACAGCAATCCCTTGTTTTAGCTTTGCACAGTTTGCTTTTGACACAACTTCACAGCTACTCCTAAAAATAGAATCTAAATATGTAGCATTGGTTAATTTTACATATTAAAATTTACAATAACAAGCACTTTGTGCTTCACACATGTATCCATTTCTTTGTTAAACATACCTCTATGAACCAGCAGAATATCATTTTCATTCACTGGCCTGTGCACCATGTCTGAATCTGGTTGGCCTGAATGCAAATGTTCGTAAAACCATTCACAGCGATCTTTAAAAGGCTAGCTCAAAAAATAAGAGTAAAATATATTAGCAGTATATCAGTCATCTAATTACCAGATTTTGCTAGCATGCTAAATGCCTTTTCTACAAATAATCATTCTTATATCTTTATATACAATAAGAAATTACTAGATGTTTTAACATTTCAATAACTATTCACGAAAAGGCAGATCATAGCTGAAATAGTTTGACTACATAGAGAATATATTTTTTTAATTCCTTCATTTTCAATATAAAAGACTTGATAAATTTGGTTATGTCTAAGAACTTAATATCAGATACATAGTTGAACACATTCTCAATTTCTTTTAAATCCAAGCCTATTACAATGAATTTTCACACCCAGAAAAATCACATTGCATGTTCCATTTAATTTTTCATGAAAATAATCTCTTACGCCGAATTTTATTCTTTTTTCAGTTTGTTATTGTTGTTTTGAGATGAAGTCTCATTCTGTTGCCCAGGCTGGAATGATCTCCACTCACTGCAACTTCTGCCACCTGAGTTCAAGTGATTCTCCTGCCTCAGCCTCCTGAGTAGCTGAGATTACAGGCACGCACCATCACACCCGACTAATTTTTGTATTTTTAGTAAAGATGAGGTTTCACTATGTTGGCCAGGCTGGTTTCAAACTCCTGATCTCAGGTGATCCACCCACCTTAGCCTTCCAAAGTGCTGGGATTACAGGCATGAGCCACCACGCCCAGCCTCTTACTCCTAACTTTATTCTTATTTCTATCCTTTAGAATATATATAGAAACTGAAATGGAATTTGTTATCCCTTCTCATTCTCTACCCTAAAAATTAAAGAATAAGATCTCTTGAATAGCAAAAGAAGTCTCTCCCTTTTGTTCATCTACCAGGTAAGCAAATTTTAAGTGATCTATAATTTTTGATTCATCAGGAAGTGTAGACTACCTAGTAGGTACCAACACTGCATGTAACATATGAGCAGTAAAAGTCTCCATGAACTTGCTAAAAACTGTTTAATACAGTTAAACAGATGAGACTAACATAGAATAATGTAATATGTATAGAATATCAAGTTCTAAACAGTGAAGCATGAGCTACAGAAGTCCTGGTCACAGCAGCAATGAAGAGGAACAATGAAGTGAATCTGAGAGATACTACTCCTTTGAATCAGTATTAAAAGTAAGAGAAGAGGTCAGGTATGGTGGCTCATATGCCTGTATTCCCAACACTTTGGGAGGCTGAGGCAGGAGGATTGCTTGAGCCCGGGAGTTTGAGACCAGCCTGGGCAACAGTGAGAGCCTGTGTCTACCCAAAAAAAAAAAAAAATTTTTTTTTAAATTAGCCAGGCATGGTGGTACGCACCTGTAGTCCTAGCTACTTGGGAGGCTGAGGTGAAAGGACCCTTGAACCCAGGAGCTCAAGGCTGCAGTGAGCTATAATTGTAGCGCACTCGTTTTGTCACTCCAGCCTGAGTGACAAAGTGAGACCCCATCTCTACAAAAACAAAAAAAGGAAGGAAGGATCTCTGCAGATAGAACTTATTAACAGAAGTAACTTAAAGGTGAAAATCCCTTTCCTCACAACCTATCCCCTCACTCCTAGAAGGTACTGGTGGAGATATAATGAGTAAGGTTTTATGTATCATGAGTTTTAAGATATTGTGGGATGTAAGTATTAGGGATTTAGAAAGAGATACTGAACAGCGCTGCAGCTGAGACACTGGAAGTAAAGCCATGAACAAAGAAAAGTTGGAGACAGGATAAGGTTTAAGAGATGAAATATACAGAGAACAAACACCAAGAACAAGTTTATGATCACAAGTCACAACTGAGAATTTGCTTACAAATGTTACAGACAAGAAAAGTCAAAGGAGATCTAAGGTGGCGCAATACCATCACAAAAGCTAAGAGCTTCAGGGGATAAATATGATGAATACCATCTAACACCACAAAAAAGTTACCTTCCAGGTAGCTTTTAGGACACCAATAAACTTCTTCATCTGAGTTAAACTAAATAGTTTGCTTTAAAAGATTCAAATATCACTTGTTATTAATTCTTAATAAAAACATTAATATGATTGAGAGATAAACTTCTGCCTTTTAATATTTGCTCTTTCAGTAAGAAAAGAGTAAATGCTACCTTTTTAAAGTTAAATGTGTAATTTTGTCCATATTCTTAGCAGTCTTCCACATTTTTAATAAAGCACTTGTTACATGTTATATGCACTACTGTGCATAGAAATTAAATATTTCATTTTTATTTAACAACTGGAATATAAAGTACTTGAAATTCTAATACTAATTATTTCTAAAAGTTTGGTATAGAAGGAGAGAAAAAACATTACACAGAAGCATATGGGCTTTGAAGTCAGATAAACACGGTTTGAAATATTCTGTCACTTAAGTACTTATCTTAAGGAAATTACTAATCCTCACAGAATTTTAGTTTTCTCTTCTGTAAAACAGAAAAGAATACTACTTCAAGAGCTAACTGTAAGAATTCAATAATGCAAATAAAGATCATTATAATAATCATAACTGTAATCATAAATTAGCAAACATTTTTAAGCACCTACAAGCCACGTACTTTTCGAAGCACTTCACAATGCATTACCACATACAACCCTCACAATGCTATGAGAAAAAGGGACTTTTGTCCCCATTTTACCAAACAGAAAAATACACTAAAAGCATTTATACTAATGCTCTAATACTCAATACCAAGAACACTCAATAAATAGATATTGTTCTTACTGTCATTCGCAACAATGTTAAAATTATTGTCAATAACTACTTAAAAGAAAACTTACTGCCCAGTATAAGATATTGAACTATGTCCTTTATGAAATGTGAACCAAAAAATAAAAACAAATGGAAACATTTTCAAGCAACTCAAGTAGACCATTAAAAGGTACAAACTGCTACCTTCAAAAGCTAATACAATATCTCTAACATCAAAACACACACACACACACACACACACACACACACACACCCCTACACAGCCAAATGACACATTTTTGTATGTAAACTTTCTAGAGTACCTGCATTCCCCAAATAATTCACAAAACAGAACTGATTATATATAGAGAGGCTCCTCTTAATAGCATTTGAACAGCAAAACAAAGTATTTCTCCCTCTAACCACTGGCCACCTGAAAACCACTAACAGAAGTCAATCCCTTAGCAGAGGTAGTTGTTCTTTTTAACTTTCTAGAGAAGGACAATCTCCAAGTTCCAGATAACTTCCAAATACAAAGTACTTTTTTTTCCCTCTGATGTGAGAGTAAGTTGTCAATAAGGGAATTCTCCTCCATAACCAGATATCAAAACAAGAAATTAACTCTGATAACATTACCACATGTAATCCTTAGACCACATTTCAAGTCTTGCTAATTTTCCAATAATGTCCTTTTATTGCAAAATGATTCATGAACTGCCTTTGTTTTGTCCTGTATCCTTCACTCTGGTACATTGCTTCAATGTTTACTTAATTTTCATAACCTTGATAGTTTTAAAGACTGCAGGTCTGTTAATTTTGTGCAAAGTCCCTCAACTGTATTTAGTCTGATGACTTCTCATGATTAGATTTAAGGTGTGCATCCTTGGCAGGAATATCACAGAAGTGATGCCATGGCGTCCTCAGAGCATCCTATCAGCTGGTACATTCCTATGTCTATTTTCATCGCTGCCAAACTTCTCTACTAGAAGACCCCTTTTTTCTCTTTGTAATTATTCTGTTGCAAGATAACTTGAGACTGTGTAAACATTCCACCCTTCACCAAACTTTCCGTTTATTCATTAATTTTTTTCAGTACAGATTCATAGGTTCCTATTTATAACTATGTTGCTATCACTATTTATTTTCATGTTCAAATTCTAGTCCATTCAAGCTGTCCTCTGAGTCACGTTAACATAAACCCACCATTTGTTGAATGCTTCCTTACTTTCTCACACAACGTTTCAGGCTTATTTTATACTTTCCCTGATCTAGTTCTGGAATTGGCCATTTCTCCAAGGAGCCCTGGTTCATTGAGAATGGCATTGAGAGACAAAGAGCTAGGTGCCAGGTTTGCTACATGTATCTATGTAGATTTAAAACTAAATTCAAACTGGTAACTCCAAATACTCTAGTTTCCTCCATTTTGTAACTCCTTTCGCCAACAATGAGAAGTCAGAATCTCACAGTTGCTTATTTGATCAACCTACAATCCCAAATGAAGTTAGACTCTCATACCTGCTTATTTGATCTGCAACCCCACTCCCTTGATATGTAACCGATCTCCAGTCACTGAAATGGCCCTTCTACTGTATAGATGCTCTCCACCCCACTTGGGCTCCATCAGACAGCACTGATCAGCTGCCACCAACCCCAACATGGACATCCTTATGCCACTCTAGCCCACATAACTCACAGTGGGAACCTCTTCTACTCGGACACCCTTCTTATCACACCCAAACTCCAAAACCCCACATTAGGCCACCACTACACCTGTAGACACCCTCCTCACTGTGGTCAGGCACAAAACCCACCTCTCTGGGTCAACAAGGTGGATACCTAATACAGATGCTTTTTGACTAAATTGTTCAGGAAGGGGAGAAGGAACAGAAAGTAAAAAGTAGACACAGTATTACGTTGGTGCAAAAGTAATTGCAGGTTTTGCCATTTTAATTAATTTGACAATTTTAATTTGGCAATTAAAAGTAATTGCCAAAAACCACAATTACTTTTACACTAACCTAAAACAGTAGATTATCTCTCAAAAACTAAAATCTTTCACCTGTTCTCTCATTTGCCCAGAACAGTATCACATACTGTAGGTTAACAAATTGAATTTGGCCAGGTGTGAATTTGGCTTATGCCCATAATTCTAACACTTTGGAAGGCTAAGGCGGGTGGATCACTTGAGCTCAGGAGTTCAAGGCCAGACTGGGCAACATGGCAAAATACCGTCTCTACAAAAAAATACAAAAATTAGCCAGGTGTGGTGATGTGCACCTGTAGTCCCAGCTACTTTAAAGGCTGATCTGGGACGACTGCTTCAGTCAGGAGGCAGAGGTTACAGTTAGTTGAGATCATACCACTGCACTCCAGCCTGAGTGACAGGTGAGACCCTGTCTCAAAAAAAAAAGGCCAGGCGCAGTGGCTCACACCTGTAATCCCACTACTTTGGGAGGCCAAGGAGTTCAAGACCAGACTGGCTAACATGGTGAAACACTGTCTCTACTAAAAATACAAAAATTAGCTCGGTGTGTTGGTGCATGCCTGCAGTCCCAGCTGCTCAGGAGGCTGAGGCAGGAGAATCACCTGAACCTTGAAGATGGAGGTTGCAGTGAGCCAAGATAGTACCACTGCATTCCAGCCTGGGCAACAGAGCAAGACCCCATCTCAAAAAAAAGAGAGAGAGAGAAAGAAATTGAACTTGAGAACCAGACAGACTTTTAAATTCTGGTTCTCCTATTTAGTAGCTGAATGACTTAAGTTACTTAACCCACTTCAGCTTAGATAAAAAGAATAGCCATCTTACATGACAGTTAAGAAAATAATTCATGGAAGCAAATATATAGTACCTGACCTAAAATTAGCATTCAGTGAAAGTTATTACTACTGCCTTCTCTTGTACATTATCTTTATTAAAGATGTCAAAAGATCCCTCTATACAGTTGTGCATAATTTTATAAAAATTAGTTCACAGCTTAACTTTTGAAAAGATAAATGTCCCTAAAGACATTAAAAACCATGTATGGTATTTATTATGACTACTAACCAAACCATTGCCTATAGTCTATCCTACATATCTGGCAAATTATTTTCTAAAATTTTGTCAGAATTATGCCATTCTTCTAAAGCACGTGTATCAGTGGCTCCTAACAATTGAGTAAACAAAGAAAATTCTTCAATCTGGAAATCAAGGCTCACCATCAGGTAAATGACCCCGATCTACCTTTCCAGAACTCTATATTGCTCCTATCTACACAAAATTTCTGCTGCAACTACTGCAGTTTTATATACTTTCTGTTTACATGCCCCAGCCCACATGTTGGCTAGAATGTTCTCCCTCCTTGTTTATTCCCATCAAAATGTTGCATATTTTTTCAAGCTTTCTCAAGGTAATTAAAAATCTGCCTTCTCTGAAATTTCCCAACTACAGATGCTAGAGCCAGTTCTTCCTCCCTTAAACTCCTAAAGAACCAGGTAATATTGTAGCTACTATTTTATAGATATGTTTATTATATCTACAGCTAGACTGAATTAGAACCCTCTTGGAGAAAGGGAGTAAGTTTTCTATCTCCAAAACAACTACCATTTATTGAGCATATATCACAGTCATTCTTGACAATAGTTTTATGAGGCTGCTGTCATTATCTCTATTTTGTAGATGAAGCAAACAAGGCTTCAAGGATGTTAGGAAATATGCCCAAAGTTCACATCGCTGGTAAGGAGCAAACCAAGTTTTCCCCTCCAGCTACCTTTACATAACATGAGATATATGGAATGAACAGGTACAAATCTAGAAGGAGAAAGGTGGTCAGGTCAAATAATTTTGGAGGATTAACAAAGCTAAATTACTATTTTTACTAAAGGGCTTCTCAAAGCCTTTTAACATGCTGCCAATGTGATTTACAGATTTCCAAAGGGCATATGTTATGTAATTTCCCAAGTGTATTTGGGGTTAAAATCATTTTTCAAGAAAACAATCAGCCTTATAAGACTAAGGAGTTTCATTAAACTCCTTTCAGGAAATGTGGCAATGTGTTCTGCTGTTTTTGTACAGACCTCTGCACATAGTAGGCATTCAATACATATTTCTTGAAAAAACTTACTCCTCATAGTAAAGTAACATGCAATCATTCCTCTTACAACAGAATTTCTGAAGTGTAATAATTATTCCACTAAATATTAGAATTTTATAAATTAATTTCATTAGATAGAAAAAAAAGATGAAGAAAAATTTCTACCTGTGCTTTTATGATATGCATGAATCTTGACATCAACTCAGGACATTCAAGGAGAAAGTGAAAGTGGTCAAATATAATTTTGGGATTTCTAAAAGAAAAATGTATTTTGTTTAAATGGACAGGAAGAATAAGTAACATTAAGTGAAATGCAAATTCAGATACACTAATATTGAAACAAAAGAAAAACATAATAATCCACATTTATTAAAGTTTCATTTGTAATGGACTATATTTTGAATAGTAAGAGAAATAACATTTTTTTCTGTTTAGAAGAAACTGTAGGTAAAAAGAGAAAAGGCTACCAGGGTAGTCCACAAACCCCAGAAAGCTTACCTATTAACAAAGCATTTTAAAACTTCATCATGTTTGCAGACAAATTCAATGAAACGAGGTGAAGTCATTCTGTCGGGGGTAAAAATCCATCAGAATACACAGGCTAAAGTTTGTGACATAATATAGTAAATTTGCTAAATATATATTGAATTGGACTGGCTTCTAAACCAAAAAGAATCTGGGTTTGGATCTTCTTTCTAAGTTTAGAAAACTGAAGCATGCCTAGCCAATTTGTAAAATGATTCTAACTTCTCATCAGTAGACTATATCAAAAAGTGATTTTTAAAATCTTGAAATTTGGTGCATTTCTGCTCCACACATTTTGAATACATAGATAAGAGATTCTATACAAGATGACATTCATAATTCTTGTGATATAAATCAATAATATATATCACTTATTTAAAATTTAAATATTCCCTACTAGATCTAGATTAGTATATCTAAAAAGGAGAAGAAAATAGAACTTTAAGTCAACAAATTATTATTTGTTTCTGAAATTACAAAAATCTCACTGCTTTTCATTATCTATCAGAGACAAAAAAAAAAATAAGCCAAACTTTCTTACCCTGGAGGCATCTGACAAGAACAGCACATGTAAAAAGCTTGAATGACAGCACTTAGCCGGTTAGCTGTCATAGAAATAACATCCTGACAATCTGCACTGGCTTCCTGTTTCCCTGCAAGAGCATCTGGTTTAGATTCCCTTGTGCCAGTGGACAGATTTTCATAGCTCCCAGGTCCTGGAGGTTCAAATGGAGGAATAGAAGCAGCATCTTGATCTTGGCCTTTTTGTTTCAGTAAAATAGAAGTGATCTCTGTTGAGTCTCTTTTGTTTTTCATCAATTCTGTAGCTATTAAAACTAGCCATTCATCTAATGAGTGCCAAAGCAATTCCAGCGGCTGAAACAAAAGTGTGTTTTAAACATCATCCTTAAACTACAGGATAAAACACGCGCACACACACACACACACCCTCCTACCTAGACAAATATTATAAAAGAGAAAATTTACTCTAGTTATTTCTATCTTCCCAAGTTAACGTGATGGTAATACCTAAAGGTAAGTAACAAAATTACATGAATGCTATATAAATGACAATTTCTTCATTTATGGCAATAATTTAGTTTGTATGTATGTGTTCCTTGGAATAAAAAGAAAAAACTAAATCTAACAAAAAATTCACAAGCAATCTTTCTTCTTTTAATTTTCAAACGTTTAGTTTTAAAAGCACACATTACCATTATACATAATCATTCTTAACATTTACTGTATTAATATGATCAATGTCAACAACTTTCAATTAAACAAATAAGACTTTTTTCAATTAAAAACTGAGAATCCTAAATATATATATAATCACTCTTAATATTTTCTGTATTAATATAATCAGTGTCAACAACTTTCAATAAAACAAATGTCTTTTTTCAGTTAAAAAATGAGAATCCTGGCCAGGCGCAGTGGTTCAGGCCTGTAAACCCAGCACTTTGGGAGGCTGAACCAGGCAGATCATGATGTTAGAAGATTAAGACCATCGTGGCCAACATGGTGAAACCCTGTCTCCACTAAAATAAAAAAATAAATAAAAAATAAATTAGCCAGGCATGGTGGTGTGGCTACTCAGGAGTAGCCACAGTCCCAGCTACTGAAAAGTCTAAGGCAGGGGAATCGCTTGAACCCGGGAGACGAAGGTTACAGTGAGCTGAGCCACTGCACTCTAGCCTGGAGACACCGTGAGACTCTGTCTCAAAGAAAAAAAAAAAGAAAGAGAATCCCTAAAGAAACTAATGAACATGTTAGTTTACTGTACTCCTTTCTTTACATTTAATTCCTAGAATTTTGACAATGTTTGACAAGAAATTACAAAATGTGGCAAATTTGTGTATATACACACACAATCCATCTCTAATAACTAGGGTTTTTTTTAAAACAAGAAATACAATTACCAAACTTCTATTAAAATACTGACTAGCAGATTGCGGGTGGTGGTTCATGCCTGTAATCCCAGCAGTTGGGAGGCTGAGGTGGGTAGATCACTTGAGGTCAGGAGTTCGAGACCAGGCTGGCCAACATGGTGAAATCCCATTTCTACTAAAATACAAAAAGTTAGCCAGGTGTGGTGGCATACACCTATAATTCCAGCTATTTGGGAGGCTAAGGCAGGAGAATTACTCGAGCCAGGGAGGCGGAGGCTGCAGTGAGCCAAGATCACACCACTGCACTCCAGCCTGGGTGACAGGGTGAGACTCCATCTCCAAAAAAAAAAAATACTGAGTAGCAAATTCTTAATTCCAAGTAAAGATTAACAGCTTTAAAAGAAAAAGAGATAGAATAAGCTATTTCCTATTATTATTATTCTAGCTGGGTACAGTGGCACACACTTGTAGTCCCAGTTACTTGGGAGGTTGAAGTGGGAGGACTGCTTGAGTCTCAGGCGTCAAAGCTACAGTGAGCCGTGATCGTGATCGTGCCACTACACTTCAGCCTGGGCCAAAGAGTGTGACACTGTCTACACCGCCCCCTGACCCCCGCCAAAATAAAAGACCTGCTAGGATATTTTTAATACCAAATAAAGATTAATAGTTTACAAGTGATATTGTGGTTAAACAATCCCATTATCCTACACTATTTTAAATATTCTTATTGAGATGATGAGATATCTTTCTGCAAATAAATATAAAAGTTAATCTCATTTTTTGAATCTTATGATTACAGAATGCTACAAACTAGACCATGTGCTACAGAAAGACTCACCTTTAAAATATTTCAAGGAAAGAAATAATCTTTCTTTTAAAGACCACTACGGAAGGAGATTATAAAACCATATTTGGAACCTTAGAAAATGTTTGAATAACCATTATCTAACAAATACCTTCCCTGTCATTTTTAGCCTTTCTTCAGATTTCTGTAACATTCCCTTTTTGAAAATATTTTACTTACTAAATTTGCAAATAATTAAATCACCCAGGCCTTCATTTACACATTAAACCAAAAGGCAAAAAACACAACAAAACAAACAAAACCACCACTACTATAATCAACAAAAACATAGTTCACTCACTCAATCAGTAATATGCACTAGGCAGGCAGGTAAGTACAATGTTTCCTTTTTTAAAAGAAATTATACCCTCCTTTGAAGTTGAAGTAAGCATCCCTCTCAGCCACAATACAGGTTCTTCCAAACTCACAAGGGCTGACAGATTTGGGGTCCCTGAACTGCTTAAAGGAGGGGAAGAAGTACCAGCTGCCATAAATACTGACAGATACTTTCACTGCAAATTCTAATCACGATCCATGAAACTATAGTTTCTCTTTATGAGCAAAACACTGAACCTGCTGTAGAAGATGAAAAGAACTTATGTCAGCAAAACTTATATCAGAAAATGAATTTCTGAAATGGAAAGAACAGGTGGTGATATAAAACTGCTTGAAACAAAAAGAAAAAAGAATAATTGGCCTCTAAATGAGAAAAGATAAAACCCAGAAAATCAACACACTGAAAGGAGGTGAGGCCTAAGGCAAGAAATGACACAGCTGATCATGCAGATGAGCAGAGTCTCAACCAACAGCAATCCTATTTTCAAATACTGACAATGTGTAAAAAATGAAAGGCAAATTTTGAGTGGTGCAGAAATAACACCAAGGAAAAAAAACATGGTACATGTAAAAATGACAATAAAGGTTTCAAAAAGCCAGAGTTTTAAATAAAGGAACACAACAAACAATTAGAAGAATGAGAAAAAAAAAATAAGTAGTAAGCCACATTGGGCCTTTCTTTAATTTTCTCTCTTTTCTCAACTTTTATTTCTTTAATCATATATGCACTAAAACTAAATCCCAACCTTGAGGTGAGTTTACCTAGGGTTTTCTATTTGAAGATCTATTCAGAAAATTCATTCTTCAATCACAAAAAAGAATACTAGGAAAACAGCTTTAATTTCTAACTGTGGTAGCAGCCACCAACAAAAAGGATTCAAATACGTTTTAAAATTAAAAATAAACCATTGCCATACTATATCTATAATGCTTTCTATATTCATAAATAATAAAATACATTAAATAAGAAATACCATACATACCAATTGTTACTGAACAATGAGTCAATTACTACTGAAAATATTAGTGGGTTTCTTGGTACTGAGAAAATACTGCTCCATTCATTATTATTGAGTGATCATTACCAAAGAATTATATTGTACAATGATATGACAATCATAAATGATTTATAAGCATTCTAAGTCATATTTTGAAACAATAATATACAATCTCAAACTTACTGAAATATTTTTAAAATTTCAAGGTGCTGAAATGAGGAATAAATCTGGCAGAATCGTATTACTAACTTATGTTCATTAAGAGTACCTTGATAACCTGTTAGTCTGACTATTCTTAACTTGTGATAATGTCAAATGCCACAACCCACAAGATAAGATCTTACAGTTAAAAGTTTCACAATCTTTCTTGGTTACCAAATTTTCCAAATTGTAAGTCTATGTAACCATTAATAGTCACAGCCTACTATTCACAAAAAAAGAACACAGCAAGAACTCAGGAAGCCTAAATTGTCTTCCCCATGTTCACTGTGTTTCGAAAATAAAAATGACCTTCTTCAAATGCTCCAAAGTTCCCAAGGCACTAGATAAAAATCTCTTAATGCTCAAAGAATGGCTATGTGTTAAAACTAACTTAAAGAACTTCTAAAATAAATCAGAAAACTAGTAACAGGATGTTAAACAATTTCACCTACTAAAAACATATGGCCTATAAACCCACTCATTCTTAATGGAAAACCCATTAGTTAATTTGAACAATAAAGTAGCATTAGAGTACCTTGTTAATGAAATGGAAATTAGGGATCAATTGCTACCTCACACAAAATCTGGTAAGAATTAAAATGGTATTTCCAGTCTAACATCACAGCAACTCAGTAAATAGTAAAGATTTTTACAACTTGAGTCACCCCACAATGAACAGGAGACCTGATTCACATGGATGACAATGTATAGTTTCTATTTTTATCCTTGTAAATGGAAGGGCAGATCATTTTGCCAATCCCCAAATATTCCGTGTTTAATTCATAAAACCGGATGAAAAGAGACTAGTAAATTCTTTGAGTTAAAACTTATTAATGTGTTCAAAAACTAGCTGAGCTTTGCAATTAAAGTGTTTTACCAAAATGAAAGTTCAAAATTTAAGAGAAAATAAGTGATGAGAAGAAATTGTAGTTGTGAATGCTGTAGAAAGTACTACCTTAAAAAAATGAAACAAAGATACTAAAAGTATTTACATATTACATATCATAGATATATGACAAAACATAAAGTCTGGGTTCTATTTTTTAAACATAAGCTAAAAAGGAAAAACAGAGATAACCTCTTCTACTCTGTCATGTCTGTATTGACTGTGTAGGTAGAAAACTACATTCAAACCAAGGATTAAACACCTATAGAGAGGCTACTTAATATATACTGTCTGATATTAGCTAATAGCAGATTCAAATTTTAACCAAAAACATCAGACAAAATTGAATATAATCTAACTCAATTTGAATAATGGTGACCACTTCTATGCCTGATTCAATTTTATATTCATCATTACAGGTCAGTAGAAAGGATGAGTCAAAGTCAAATCGCGGGTAGATTCCATCACTATCAGAGTGAGCCATGCCAGAACATATTAAAAACAACTTTGTGTGATATGAATGTTTGAGCAGTAAAACTCGCTTAAAACAGTACTGACAAAAAAAGTAGGTCAATAATGTAGATCAAAATTTTACAGACAGTAAGTTGTCACTCCTAAGTTCAAGGAAGTGGTATGTGAAAAGCCACAAGAATTGCAAGAATGCATAACTTCATTCTTCCAGGAGGTGGCACAATAAGAAAAACAAAAAAGAAAACAAAAAATGCACACACATGTACACACACAGGCATACAGATATGGCTAAAAACTTTCCTGCCTAGACTAATTTTTTTAAAGATAATAAAACAGATGGATAGACATTTATACATACTTTTCTAAAAGACTACCGTAAAGTATTAATCTATAGGGTCAAAGTTCTTGCAAACTGCTTATTTTTACCTTTCTGCAAAAATTCTCCACATAAGAAATGAATAATTTAGTATAGAACATTAATCTAGCTTTGAATTTTACAGACAGCAAAGCTGTCAATCCTAACTAGTTTTCAAGGAAGTGGCACATAAAAACATTTATATAATTTTTTTGATAAATAACCTGTATTTTATACTCAAATCATTGTTTAAAGAAATATAAGTTGGTTGGGTGCAGTAGCTCACACCTGTAATCCCAGCACTTTGGGAGGCAGAGGCAGGCAGACTGCTTGAGCCCAGGAGTTCGAGACCAGCCTGAGAAACATGGCAAAACCCCATCTCTACCAAAAAATATCAAAATTAGCCAGATATGGTGGCATGCACCTATAGTCCCAGCTACTCAGGAGGTTGAGGTGGGAGCATCGCCTGAGCCCAGGGAGGTTGAGGCTGCAGTGAACCATGATTGTGCCACTGCACTCCAGCCTAAGCAACAGAGTAAGGCTCCGTTTCAAAAATAAACACATGAATTAATAAAAAACATGAAGTTATTAAATTACACATTTTTCTAAAATCTGTTATTTTAAAATGTCACCCAGAAACAGTAACAAAAGCAATTATAGTCATATTCATTTTGCTTACTTGATAAAATTATAATTTAACATGAGTAGCAACACTCCCTTGGTTTTACATGAATTCATTCTTCCAAGGATTTAATCCATATGTGCTTATATAGAAAGGCAGCTGAAGCAATACAAAATATATTTTTTAAATGTCTCAACAATTCTTCCTCGCAGTGATCTCAGAAATTAACTGTTAGTAAACCCAGTAAATGAAAGTAACTTTACTTTAAAAACACATACACAGACACATACCTAACACACATATCATATTAAAATCTAAATTAAAACTGCATTTATTTCCTTCCTGATAAGAAATACATTTCTTTCAAAAGCATGCCAGCTGCATATTATATTAAAAACCTATAACTAAATAAAATTAAGTTTAAACATTAAATATCTCTACCCTTAGAATAAAACACTAATGAAATAAAAAAATTTACTTGTAAGAAAAGTACAGAAAGCTCACCAACTTGCTGTTATTAGAAAGAGAAGAGAAAGGTATGCCTAATTTTAAAAGTGATATGGCTATAAACCAAACTTACATCCTGTTCATGAGGTTCCTGATTAATGAATGCATGCTTTGTCAAATTCGTCTCTTTTACGTATGTCTTCCTAATAATGTCATCTACTTTTCTCACCTTGAACACCTGGCTTCTTGGAGTTTTATTCCCATTGTAGCCCATATCAATTCCATTACTGGGGGAGGATGGACCAATTCGAAAGACGTGACAAAATATTCTCACAATTCTTAAAAGGCTCTTCATTTGAGCATCATAATTGCTAGATAGGCTGAAAATAAAAATTAAAATATGAGATTAGATGAAGTAAAACAAATTACATCTTAAAATGCTTATTTTAAAACATTTTCATCCCACTGACCATCTGTTTCATATTATAATATAACTGGAGTAAAATTCTTTTCCTATCATGATAGGAGATAGAATGGTTTAACAAGAAGTTACATTATTTGAATTGTATATAAATGAATTACTATTTTTTAAGCACCCAAAATATAACCAATGATTAAAACTTAAAATATGAAGAAAATCACTCCTTTAGAATAGTTGGTTTCTTGTGGCAACAACTTCAAGGCAACCCCTAAACTTTTACTTTCAAAAGTATATTTGTAAATTAAATTTATTCTTTAGAACTCTGATTATATTTCACAGAGAAGCAATGGTATAAACCATCATATTCTTAGGCCAACCCACAACTGTTTTAACAAACAGGCTAAACTGAACTGTCTGCCACTGTATCCCTAATCCCATATCCCCTTCCTACCCCAGAATAGTAACCAATTGTTCACATATAGAACATTCACAAATTAAATAATTTTAAAGTTGCTGTCTATATTAGGTTTGTTCTCTATATAATGGGCTGTCTTAAGTAAGACTCTACACATAGATAGGAAATATACCGGTACCATGAAAAAAGAAAAGACTAAAATTAATTAACACTAAATCATATTAAATGTAACATAAACTCATTTTTACTAATCAGAAAGCCCTAAGAATCCCACAGCAACTTGGGATTGGTCATCATCATGAATACCAATCATTACCTTTCCACAGAAAAACTGTAGGAGTTAGGCTAAATTTATATTGAATTTTTTTTCTGTTGGTTGATGGTGGTTTTATTTTGATATCTCTAACATCAGTTATCTTATATAACAAATGTTGGAGCAAAGTAAAGAGTTGCATAAACTTCTGGGCAGAATGGCAGAAGCTTCTGCCCTTTTTTAAAATTTAATTATCAAAAGCTTACTGTCTCTTCTCATATATTTTACCCAGTTCATTGAAATCTTCCTTTATTATATTTATAGGTATTAATATTAAAAAAATAGTAAGATGATAACGGCAAATGTCTACTTTAAAGTATTTGTTTGATAAATGTCAACTTAGAGGGCATTTTCAATCCTGGTGACATGAATCAAATTTTCACTTTAATATTCATACTATTTTATCATTATAAGACTCATGAAGTTGTTTTAAAAGTCAATAAAAATTAGCTGTCAGCTACCAGTGTTCACAAATTATCAATAGCTATTGCTGTCCATATAGCTATAACACATTAGCAATGCCTTTTTTGCTTCAGTAATTTTGAATCAAATGTGTATAGAGTGATTAATTTAGCTTGCACTGATTTTTACATATCTGTCTGCATGAAATAGTGATTCTAATTGTATATCATATGGAACTAACAAAATAAAAATGTAGTTTGGTTGTAACCATCTCCTTCTTTTACAGTGTTTCAGCTTTTGGAAATGTTAACTACAATGACTCTCAAATTCTCTAAGAGAGGTGTGAATTTGATTTTCTTCTGCAAAATTACCACATATACAAACATTCGTTTTAAATATCTGATCTAGGAAATATATCAGGAGTTAATCTTACTTTAAGGTTAAAAGTATTTTCTTAAACCATAGAATCTGATATTATTAATTATAAATATAGTCCTAACAATTTTATATTACTTTACTCAATTAAAACTTCTTCCAAGCTGAATCACTGCTGTAAAAGAGATCATTTCCTCACTTTTCAACCAGTGAAGTGTCTCTTTTGTATTATATAAAAAGACTATAAAATCTAAACCCCATATACCCTTCTCCAGTTGATCATAAAATGATCATTTGTTCCAAAGTTAACATGTTTTAACAGAAAAGTTGAAAAATTAATTTCCTAACTCAAACCCCTATCACTGTAAAATCCTCACCTTTGGTTTATATGGGTATCTCCTTAGTGTCTTACTTAGCATATTGCTATGACTTTTGTGTTCATTTCCATATCATTAACTACATTTACTTTCAATCATAAATATACAGAAAGATAAATCTTTCATTTCAACATAAATATAACATTACATGCAAAAGTCTCAGTAATGTTTATCATCTTTAGCAAATATCCCTGAAATCAGTTAGATAATAGGCTACCAATTTTTCAAGAAGTATGCTGGATAATACCTTAATTGTCACTAATTAACATATATTTGAATCAGTTACTTTCTTAATGAAAACTTCTGTTAAAACAAAGGTCAAAATTACTTCACATAGTGGGTTAATAAACATAAAATGATTCACAAATAAATGAACAAAAGTGAGATACTCTACAAAATATCATTAAACATAAATCAGCAAGGGGAAACAATCTGTATTTGAAATCATCTTAAGACATAACCTTTTTAACAGTACAATAAATTCTAACTAATAACCAATACTCACTACAATCCCAACAATGAGATACTTACAGGCTAAAAATGGTCAAACAAATTGATTCTAAACAAACAGATTCTATAAAGCATTTAGAACATAGCATTGTAAGTGGTGAGACAATACAGTTAAGCAGAGTAATTTTTTGTTTGTTTGTTTTTTGAGATGGAGTCTCATTTTGCAGTGGCCCAATCTCGGCTCACTGCAACCTCCAACTCCCTGGTTCAAGTAATTCTCCTGCCTCAGCCTCTCGAGTAGCTGGGATTACAGGCATGTGCCATCACAACCAGCTAATTTTTATACTGTTAGTAGAGATGGGGTTTCACCATGTTGGTCAGGATGGTCTCGATCTCCTGACCTCGTGATCCTCCCTCCTCAGCCTCCCAAAGTGCTGGGATTACAGGCATGAGCCACCACACCTGGCCAGCAATTTTTTAAAAACTACTATTGTTGGCCAGGCACAGTGGCTCACGCCTATAATCCCAACACTTTGGGAGACTGAGGTGGGTGGATCACAAAGTCAGGGGATCAAGATGCCAACATGGTGAAACCCCATCTCAAATAAAACTACAAAAAAATCAGCTGGGCATGGTGGCACAGGCCTGTAGTCCCAGCTACTCAGAAGGCTGAGGCAGGAAATTGCTAGAACCCAGGAGGCAGAGATCACAATGAGCCAAGATCACGCCAATGCACTACATCCTAGGCAACAGTGCGAGACTCTGACTCAAAAACAAACAAACAAAAAAAAAAAAAACTACTACTGTTTTGACCACAGATTCCTTTTTCCTACCCTGTTTCTCCTGTCCCACTAACCACCCCACAGTCCCCATCATTTTTAGAAGCTATCTTAGAACCTAGAATCTGCTATTTACTACTGATGATACAAATCCAGGTTTATTATTAGCTTGGCAAATCATTTAACTTCAATTTTGTTATACATAAAATGGAGATCACATCTACATTATAAAGTTACTGTAAGGTTTAAATGAAATAATATATTTGAATGTTCCTTAGCTTAGTACCTGCTTAATAAGTGATGAAAGTAAACTTTCCTAGATACATAAAAACATAAATGCTTTCTGATTACTGCCGAAGTATAAACAACATGACAAATATTTAAGAAGAAAAAACAAGTTTTCTAATGTAGGAAAGCAGGCTAGATGGTATTACAGGGGAACTTAAAATAATAACCATTGTCACCTCTACTATATACTGGACCGTCTGCTTTGCATTTTACAGCATTATCTTATTTCATTCTCACAACTCATTAAGATTTTTATTACCAGTTTCCAACAAAATGGAATAAAATCCTGACTAGAATGTAATTTCAACACAGAGATCTTGTCTGTTTTATTCATGATCAACTCACAGATGGTCTAAATGGATGGTAGGCCCCACAGATGGTCTAATGGATGGTAGGCCCGCAAAAATGTGCATTTGGTTGGGCGCAGTGGCTCACGCCTGTAATCCTAACACTTTAGGAGGCTGAGGCGGGTGGATTGCCTGAGTTTAGGAGTTCGAGACCAGCCTGGGTAACATGGTGAAACACCATTTCTATTACAAATTTAAAAAATTAGCAAGGCATGGTGGTGTATACCTGTAATCCCAGCTACTTGGAAGGCTGAGGCAGGAGAATCACTTGCACCTGGGAGGTGGAGGTTGCAGTGAGCCAAGTTTGCATCACTGCACTCCAGCCTGGCCAACAGAGTGAGACTCCATCTCTAAAAAAAAAAGTATTAGATGGATGCGTGGATGTTGAAGGGAAACTCCAGAAAGTTAGTTGATAAAGTCATACAGTAAATGACAATATCTGGATTTAAGCCTGAGTCTGGCTGACTCCAAAGCCCATACTTTTAATGAGCATATCTGAATCATACAAGGGTTCCATGAAATATATAAATTACTGGGAATAACTAAGTGGGAGCATTATGGAAAGCTGGAATTCAATGACTGTTATAGACAAAGTCTATAAGTAGTCTCAAAGGTAGAAATAGAATAATTTTTTAACTGAACAAATGGTATATTGAGTAGAATTGCTGAAAAAGACTAAATGGTTAAAAGAACAGAAGAAGGTGATCTTGGAATCATGAAGTATAAGGAACCTAGCAAAGGTTCTTTTAAGTAAATAGTACAAAACGTGATTCCAATTTGACATACATGAAACGTCCCAAAGAAGATGGAAACAAATGGCTAAAATAATAAATTTAATAATATAGCTGATTTAAAGAAGTAGCATGGTGTTGGGAGGAAGAAATTTCAGTTGCAACTACAGAGGTGGGATAAGATCAGGACATGTCAATCCATTAAGAGTGGAAGTAATTAGTAAAATGAATAATACAAAGGGGAAAGCATCCAAAGGTCAAATTTGTAGGCTAAGATATAATAAGACAATAATCATTTCTCAATGGCTACTTATTCCTAATTGGAGTAGCCAGCCACATAGACAGAAGTGTATCTGTAAGAAAACACTTCATATATAAAGTCAAGTAATATAAGGCATTAACTCTATGAACTTAGTGATGAGCCATTAAAACCACAGGATCTTTCAGAAAGAAGAAAGAACTTAAATGAGGGGGTCAGTTCAGAGAAAAAATTTTATAAGGAGTCATGAGGGTATAATGAAAGGTTAAACAGTAGTTTATACCTAATTTTATTTTTATTTTATTAATCAGCAGTCAAGATTTCTGAACTTTCTTGATTCTTCTTCATGTACATTTACTTACATGTATAGTTAAGTAATCATTCTAGACACATAGGCTCAAATTCACTGAAGTATGCTCTATTTTTCGTCTCTTTAGAGACACTAAAATCTCTTTAGCAATAGTTGATTACCCTGGTCCTTTCAAACAAAACAAACCAGAAGTCAGCAAATTTTGATAACATGGTATCACTGACAAAAGGCATCCCGCAGAATAAACTACTCAGGAGGTGAAGCCAACAGGAGGTGCTACCTATTGATTTCCTCCTATTCAGAAACACTTACCTAAGCAGTTTATGACCATTTGTTGTAGCAACTTCAGCAAGGCTTGTTAGAATCTTTAGGTACTGGCTTTCACTTTGCTGAGACAAATGCTCCAGAACTTGCCGTAACTAAGTTTTTTTACAAATAAAAAACTGTGATTGCATAGTAATCCATTAAATCTTATCAAACAATTAAGAACCTATTAATTCAGTAAGTATCTTAAAGCCAATTAGTCAAAATCAAGTCCTTTAGTTATTTTGCCTTGCATAAATTAAAAGCTAATATAGAGATATAATAATATATAATAAAATCTTTGTTGAAAATCACCCAGTTACAAAACAATAATAAATACAGATAAAATTTAAAAATCATCAAGTATAGTTTTGGAAATTTCATTCTAAACTTCTAAAATAAAAGAGAAGTTTAAACTCTGCAATTTTTCTAAGACTAAAACTATCACAAATACATAGCTCAGTAAACTAGTGACTACCAATCATAACGATATTCCTCCATAAATTATTTTCCTCTTGCCATGGAATATTCTTTTTTTAAAAGACAGAGAACATCATTGTGTCACCCAGGCTGGAGTGTAGAGGGCAGTAGCATGATCTTGGCTCACTGCAGGCTCAGCCTCTGGGCTCAATCCCTCCTCCCAGCTCACCCTCCCAAGTAGCTCGGACTACAGACATGTACCACCACACTTAGCTAATTTTTATTTTTTTTCTGTAGCAAATGGGTCTTTGTTGCCCATGCTGGTCTCAAACTCCTGGGCTCAAGAGATCCACCCACCTTGGCCTCCCAAAGTGCTGGAATTATAGGCCTGAGATACCACGCCCAGCCTATTCTAGTTATCTTAAGGAGAGACCAAAGACCCAGAGAGCAGAAGATTTATATGACCAAATATTAGCAAAAAACATATTAATTATTATCTAATATACCCTTATCCTATAATGCAGATAATCTAATCACTAAAATATTTATGACAATAAGGAAAATTACTAAGCTAGGCACGATTGTAAAACGTCATATATGCTAAGCATGAATAAAGCTTAGCATCTACAAGCTACCAACACAAACACATTACCATGTTTTCTCGGAGGTCTTCATTTTGTGTCATTTGAATAATAGTCTGAAAAAGCCTAGGGTGATATTGAATTAATACTTCACAAGTCTCTCCATATCCACCCTAAAAACAAGACTTAAAGTTAGTCAGGTTTAAAAACAATCCCTTTTAAAGGTCATACTTTTCACACAATAAAAAACTTTGCACCTACCCCTTCATTGAAAAATAGTAATTTTACCACTCTCAGTTTCTATTAAAGAGATAAGGAGCTCAGAATATAAATTAAAAGCATACCTGTACACATAAATCCAGAGGAGTTACTCCATTTTTATCTGGCAGATATTTGGCTCCTCGTAACAACAGAATCTGTGCTGTATCTCTCTGACCATGACTGTGTAGAAATAAAAAGTTAAAAATACAATCTTTTTAAAGTCTTTATAAATTGAGGATAGATAATATGAGTCAATGGAAGAGTAACAATTTTAAAAATTAAGACAGGAGGATGTGAAACACAGAAAAATACTTTTCTCAGTGTTAAGCGCCATGCTTTCACTATGTAGACCAAAAAGTGACCTATTACATTTTAGAACTGAATTTGTGTCACATTTCCTAAAATAAGTCATAATATTTCGGGGATAAGTAACTACTACTCAGGCTTCTGCTTTATGTTTTTCTTACACTCACTTCCTAATCCCTTTCTCCACCTTAGCTTGACCATTTGCAACTCTAGGCTGACCTTCTTCCTACCACAAGCATCCAAGTCTCTAGGCTTCTAAATCCAAAAGAACCTCAAGAGTCAAAACAAGTACATTTTATGGTATATGTAAAAAAAAAAATTAAAAGGAAGGAAGGAGAAAAGTAAAACTTTAAAGATTTGGGGGAAAGGGGAATATGAGGCAGGGTTACTACTCAAAAATACTATCTAACTCTCCACCTTCATTTTATCAACGCACTCAGTCTGGCTTCTGCAGATAGGTATTCACTCTGTCCTAGAATGAACTCTCCTATCCACATGCCTCATTCCCTGATTGCTCTCTTTCTTGTAGAAACAGAATTGGTAACTATCACTCTGAGATAAGACCAAGATACTTAGGGGGTAGTAGCCACTGATTTCTACCAGTCTCTTATTCAATGAGCTCATCTGATCCTAGATAAAGGCAATAAAAAATAAGCTTAGAATCCAGGGAGATTAATACTAAAGGCTGATTCTTAGGAAATGCCCAGCATCGGGCGCCATGGCTCATGCCCATAATCCCAGCACTTTGGGAGGCCGAGGTGGGTGGATCACCTGAAGTCAGGAGTTTTTATTAAAAATACAAAAATTAGCTGGGCATGGTGCCAGGCACCTGTAATCCCAGATACCTTCAAGGCTAAGGCAGGAGAATCACTTGAACCTTGGAGGCGGAGGTTGCAGTGAGCCAAGATGGCACCACTGCATTCCAGCCTGGGTAACAAGAGCGAAACCCCAAGAAAGAAAAGAAAAGGAAAAAGGGAAGGGAAGAGGAAGGGGAAGGAAAGGAGAAAAGAAAGAAAAAGAAAAGAGAAAAGAAAGAAGAAAGAAAGGGAGGGAGGGAGGAAGAAGAAAAGCAAGAAAAGGAAAGAAAAGAAAACAAAAGCCAGGCCTAAATAAGTTGTACAGTTTGAAAGAGCATGAATCCAAAAAGTACTTTGTAGGTGAGAAAAGCAAGTAATCAAAGCACAGGTGAAACTACAACTCAGGCACCTGGGCTTCTAGATCAATACACTTTCCACAATGACACTACCTAAAGAGTCATGTCACTTCACAAAGAAAAAGACTACACATATTTCTCAGACATTTACCATGCCTGAGAAAAAACAAAACACCATCCATTCTCTTTCACAAAATGGCACTATATGAAGAATAATTTATAGCCAACTGGAATTAAAGTTTTTTAAAAAAGAAACTTAATTAGTATCCTACTATGAATCTAGTGCCAGGAAACCCTACAACAGTTATTATACGTATATCACTCTCTTGATACTTTATTATTATGCTGATTATCTTCCTTAATACCAATAAGACAGAACTTAAGAATAATATCTAATTTATTTTAGAAAAATCAAAAAAGTAAGTAAATCAGCAATCCCTCTGAAAGCAACAATAATCAGCTTTACTAGTATCAAGCAAGAAGTCCTCATCAAGCATCACTTGTCATTAAGCTGAAAGTGTTGGTCAAGGTGTTATAAACCATAGCTAATGGTTATTATTTTATAATTTACACTGTTCCATTCTTTAACATGCCTAAAAATAGAAGCCAAGTGAAAAGCAACTAACTTGAGCTTAATTTATTCAGGGATATAGTGATACTTCTGCTAGTAGCCAAGGTTCTGAGGAATCCATTTTATAAAACTGCTGTGTTCAATTTTAACGATATCTCTTTTACAGTTCTTTAATAACCATGTGTCCAATTTTTTCCAATTAAATTGTAAATTTCTTGACAGCAGATTTGTTCCATAGCACCAAGCATTGCAGTTGTCTTATAACATGTACTCAATACATTCAATGAATTATATTACAGGCTTTAACTTACACTATTCACTTGACAAATAAGTATTAAAGACAACACTGCACTATAGAAAATAACAAGAGACCTGAAACACAGTTTATTTAGGAAATACTAGGTAACAAGCATTATGCTCTGTCCAAAGTCTGACTTAATACTGACATTGTTAATAAGCATCATTAAATTAAGCAAACAGGAGGCCATTAGCCTGAGATTGTCACTATGCTTTTGAGTTCCTCTGTTACAAACTGCAATCTAACTTGGAAGTATATATTTGGCCACAAAGAGTAGGTTTCAGCCAATCAGACAGGCAATGTGTCACACCACAACCAAATCAGGCAAATGCCTCATCACATCATGCCCAAATAAGGCAAATACATACATAAGGGTAGCTATTCAGGTGATTTCTCTACTTTGCTTCCATATTCAGCTTATAAAAGCTCATTACTTACACACTGCTGGAAAGAGCTCTTTCAACTCCTTCTGATTCTGAATGATTCACGGTTTATCATTTAAATAAACTTTAAATTTAACTTTTCTAAGGTTTTTCCTTTAAGAGTATTCACTCAATTTTTCAATTGAGAAAACCATGGCTCAAGAGTTTAACGAAGTTGCTCAAGATGAACAGTTACACGGCAGAGCAGAATTTAAATCTGCACCTATTAGAAATAATGCTTGGAGTCATAAGGAAAAATGAGCACTCAGACAAAGGATTTTTTAGCAAAGTAAATTTACTTTTGTATAGAAGGGTGTCTCTTGTATTGGCTGGTTGTCATGATAGTACTTTGAACAAAGGAGAGTAGAAGTTTTTATTTTTAACATGACTTTTGTCTCTGTGTCTTTTTCATACTGGCTAGGGTTGGACTGTATAATTTAAACTAGAGTTGATTGGCTAAACATTTAAACTTTTTTAGATAAGGACATGTGATGGGGGAGAGGGGAGAAGGAAGGGGTCGTCTGTGGTGAACTAGAGAGCTAATTTTTTTTAAAAAATAAGAAAAGGAATGTGAGCTGGCGTTGATAACACCACCAGTGTTGTGGCATGTATGGGCATGTAGTAAAGTCAGAATGAAGAAAAGGAGAAGAAAAAGTGGGGGTACTGGAAATTAAAGAATAAAAGGTTAAGCAGGCTCTTTGAAGAGAAATTGTGCTATATCTCACAGCACCAGTCTGACTCCAAAATCCTTCGTCCATATCATGCTGCTCTAGCAAGATAAATAAACATAGAGATTGCCCTCTATGTTTTATGCCCTCTAAAAGCAAATAATCTGGTACTCAAAAAACTATGGTATCAGACACAGGAGAATATGTGCTATGAGAACAATGCAATGGGGATCAGACAGGATGAACAGACAAGATCACCATGTATAAGCAGGACAGGACAATGTTAAATACACAAGGTAAATAAAAAAGCCTCAAAATAACTCAGTACCATACATAGCAAAAAAGGATAATCAGCATGAAGAAAAAGAAATACTAACATAACATTTTTAGAAAGCCAGAGTAATTTCTAAAACTACACAGAAATCTCATTTATGATCAGTTGACATTTCATTTCAAAAAACGGATTAAGAGCCAGGTGCCACGGCTCATATCTGTAATCCCAGCACTTTGGGAGGCTGAGGCAGGAGGATCACTTGAGGCCAGGAGTTGAAAAGCCACTTGGACAACATACCTTGACTTTATTAAACATAAAAATTTTTTAATTAGCTGAGTGTGGTGGTGCATATCTATACTCCCAGCTACTTGGGAGGCTGAGATGAGAGAATTGCTTGACCCCCAGAGTTGGAGGTTGCAGTGAGTTATGAACATGCCACTGCACTCCAGCCTGGGTGGCAGAACAAGACCCTGTCTCTAAAAAGTAATAATTTAAACATAAGAATAAGTTTTAAAATAGATTTTAAAACAATAAACAACAGCTAATAATATTGTTAGAAACAACACAGGGACTCAAGTGTCTCATCTGTAATTCAATTAGCAATCCTCTTTCCAACTGCTCAGAGTGTTGCATAAAAGATTTTTCAGTTTAAATAACTGTAAAAATTACTCAACAGATAATCATTCTTTATAAATGGAGTTAATATTTTTGAGACAGTCTCAATTTTTTAATATTAATTGAGATAATACTCTCCTCAAGAAAATGCCTATGTATTTTATGAAAACTAAAAAGTTGACAAAAATTTAATAAGAAACCTGTGGTGACTTCTAAAGCACTTAGAACTAGTTTCTCAAAAACTTTCAGCCTCCTAACTTTAGACTCTTTCATCATTATAAATTTGAGAATTTGGCCAAAATATAAATAGTACAGGCAGTTCAAATATTTATTATTGGGAATGCCTTACAAAACAAAGAGATCATATTTTCTAAAGGTCCCTTCCTATGTGAAAAGTTTACAATTTTAAGTCTAAGAACTCTTTTACGTGGCTACTTTGATTTGGAATATTCTAATTGAAAGGAATTGCTTCACAGTAGTTACAAATCCACATTCTGAATCTTAGCCCTTTCTGACTCTACTAGAGACCTCTAAAGCTCCACTAATGTCTCACTAATTTTCTGTATCTATACAATTCCAACTAATCTTACTTTTCCTAATAGAACAAAAGTTATCTACAGGTACAGAAAATACCTGAAAACCATTATACATCCCAACCTTCATTTGAAGAACCCAGTTGAGGGAATTGGGAACATCAGGATTGAATATAAAGCCAATCTAGTAATTTCAGGATTTGAAATATTGGTAGCAATTATATAAAAGACCTGAAAACAAAGGTGTGTAAAGATGGCAGAGGGAAAATAAATCAATGTGTGCCTATATTTTTTACAACAGAAAGCATGAGGTATATAGTTTAAATGAGTTATAATGTCCTGCCCGGAGTATTCAGACAAGAAAAGTGGCTGGAAAACCCTTTCTATCATAACTTTAGGTCAAAATCCATCTGAAAATGACTCACAGGAGCACTACATTATAAGACAGTGCTCAGGGCCAGGTGCGGTGGCCCATGCCTGTAATCCCAGCACCTTGGGAGGCCAAGGCAGGCAGATCACCTGAGGTCAGGAGTTCGAGACCAGCCTGGCCAACATGGCGAAACCCTGTCTCTACTAAAATACAAAAATTAGCTGGGTGTGGCAGTGGACACCTGTACTCCCAGCTACTCAGGAGGCTTGAGGCAGAAGAATTGCTTGAACCTCGGAAGCAGAGGTTGCAATGAGCTGAAATTGAGCCAGAAGAAGAATCATTTCTTAGAAAGAAAACCCTGTAGAGCAACTAAATTACATGAAGACAATATGATTTTATGAGTGAAAGAAGTGTGTCAGAGCTTAGTGAGCACCTATCAACTACTAAGTTGAATATCCTGCAGCATGCTTTACAGAAGCCATCGCATTTAATCATCACAATAATCTCACAAGGCAGATATCAACTTCCATTTCACAAAGCTTCAGGAGTCAAAGAATTTTGACTAATGTTGTGTAGCTTTGGAGGCAGGGATTTGAATCTGCCTCCACAACCTAGGTTCTTTCCCTTGTATCTTAATACCATTCTAAATTTAATTGCAAAATTCAAATACAAAGAAAACAGTTTCAGTAGTTGACACTTAAATATGACATAATAGATTATATCTAATAATACTTCTCAACAAATAAAAACCATATATTCCATTTAACCTTTATCTTAGAGCCCTATAATTTGTCTTGGGGGTTAACTTGTTCTATTTTATATATTCCTTTTCCTTTAGTTTATCAGAAACAACACATTGGGAATAGTTTATATTTAATTTATACCTATATCAAGATATCACAGGTAAAATTAAAAGTGTTCCTGCAGAAGAACCACGTTCCATATCTATTATTATTCTACAACAATGAATTTGTTTTTTGGTTTCACATTTCATCACAGACTTGCTTAAGCATTTTTATTCAAAAAGATCTAATATTTGCTAAACTGAAGCTAAGTGATGGGAATGTTAGGAGAGAATATTTCTTAAAAATCCTTTTGCCATATCCCTAAGCTCAGACTAACTATTATAGGAATATCCCAGTTCTGCACAACACTAATATACCTCTATTCTTTCAACTATTATAAATGGCATTTTTTATAAGATATTTTTCAGAGTGATTCATTCATTCAAAAACATCTACTAAGCATATAATTGCAAAACACTGTACCACACTTTGACATAAAGTGGTAAACAAAATAAATACAGTTCCTGCTTTCATCGAGTTTTCAGGCTTGTAGGGAAGACAGACTATAAACAAGTAAATAAACAACTACAAAACAGGAAGTGCTATGAAGGAAATGACTGTGACACTGCAATCAAAAACTTGGGGAAAGGCGTTCCTAGATTGTTCACTAAAAAGTAACTTAATTAAGCAATAACATGAATAAGAAGCAGTCAGCCCTATAAAAAGCCTAGGGAAGAAGATTTCAGGCAAAACAAAGACCAAGTAGAAAAGCCTGCTAAGTTGGTTGCACTTAAGGAACTCAAAGAGAATCAATGTGCTTAAAATACAGTGAGCTAAACAAGAGTGAAATCATGGAAGTCTCATAGGCCAAGGTAGAACCTGAATATATTTGAAATGCAACAAAGAGGCACTGAAAAGTTTACATACAGGGCTTAAATACAAAGCGACAAGAGCTGATTCTTTTTTTTTTTTCTTTTAAGATCACTTTGACTGCTGAGGAAAGATTTTAGATGAAAACAACATAGGAATCAGGGAGTCCAGTGAAGAGACTACTGCAGTACTCCAGGCAAAAGGTAACAACTTTAAGGTGGTTTCGGTTGAGTTAGAAGTTGAGATTCCAAACATATTTTGAAGGCGTAATTTACAGAACTTTACTAATAAATTCCAAGTTGACAGAAAAATTAAAAAATAATAATCTAATCATTTTTAATTTAAACAACTGAGAAGATAAGGGTTCTACTGATTAAGATGAGAAAAAACTGGAGGAAAGGTTTGATGAGGAAAATCTGAAGCTCTATTTTGACATGTTTATATCTGAGATTCTGTGGTATTTCTAAGTGATGATGTAAATCAGACAGATGGACATTCAAATCTGGAGCTTCAAAGAAAGGTCTGATCTAAAGATAACCCTTCAAGATAGAATATGATTTCAGGGAATCAAGTGACGATATTATTCATAAATTCAGGACACTATGGAAAGAACAGGTTATCTAGCCAAGCGACCAAATCATAAATACAATGTAAGAAAATGGCTGGTATTGGATAAGATCTGGAAGTCTAGAAATCCAAAAGCCCCTGAATTCTAATACAAGGTTGTTAAATAGATGATCTGAATCAGTCTCATCAAAGGAACATCAGAGACCCCAACAAGAAACTAAACAAGAAAAAAGCAGATCTTTCAACCTAAAACCAACCTCCAATAAAATAATAAAAAACAGGAAAAAAGAAGACAGGAGTTTTCTGGAGAGCTCTATATCTGAATATAAAAGCCTAAATAAATATTACAATTCATATAATTTAAATCAAAAAGAGGAATCACTACACTGTTCTGTGAACTGCTCCTAATTGCAAACTACATTTACATAATATATAATATATATGTGTGTACCTATTTTTATGTATGTGTGTGGGTGTTGGTGTGTGACTGTATGTGTATAATTATACTGTTAGCTCCTTAGGGACTAGAGTTTATTACTGTATTATAACACCTACAACAATTCATGACACAGTTAGTGCTAATTAAACATCTGCTGATTACATGAATGAATAAGCGAACAAAATGTACACGTCAAGAAACTGAACCAATATGGAAATACAAAAATAACATCATGCATAACAATACTAACAAGAATGACTCAAGATTTTTTTTTTTTTTTTGGTTATAGATACAGAGAAAGAAAAGACATGGCTCTGGAAGAAGATACATTCCAACAGCTTATCCCACTGGAAATGACCTGGTTACACAACACAGTAAACTATGGGAATTACCAGATTACTGATTTGCCTTTTGTTAATAAGTAGTTAGTCTAAAATTGAAGTAATCAAGCAAACCAAAAGCTCTCACATATAACATGAAAGCAATGGCAATTAAATATAACAGAAAATACTTTTCCTCATATAGTTAAGTAATAGAACCATAATACTTTATTTTAAAAGAAAGAGTATACTTCATCTTAAAAGACAGCACAGTATTTGTGGGACAACAAGTGAGTTTTAGAAAATACAAAGAAATGTATGTGTCTGGAAATAGAGTATATATACAACATTCTTTAATAGGAGCATCTGGAAATATAAAATATCATACCTGCAAGCAAAGTACAATGGAGTGGCTCCTGATACATTTGGCCTGTTAATATCAGCACCACTGTCTAGCAAGCATTGCACTGTCTGAGGGGAAAAAAATAATTAAAAGTAAAGCCAGAAGAGTCAAACAAAAGATACAATTACCACAATTTTAATCCTTATAAGGAAAGTTCTTCCCACAACTTGAAGCTCTACATAGGAACTGAGTGGGCACGTGACAATTATTACAGCTGGGCAAACTCAACTTTCTGTAAGCTCTCTAAGTTTCTCAGGCACAACACAATATATGTGGAATTATCAATGTAACAGAAACTGTGTTAATCTGGAAGTCTTTAGAGCAGCACTGTATCATAAGTAGTCAGTAGTCACATGTGGCTACCAAGTACTTGAAATGTGGCTAAGTACAGCTAAGGAACTAAAATTTTAATTGTATTTAATTACAGCTAATTTGAATCTAAACAGCCACATGTGTCTAGTGAATTAGACCCTATTGCTTTAGAGATATGAATTTAAATTGCTTTAAATACCAAATTTTTCACCTCTAAAACAAAAAATAAGCACCAGAGTAATAACTTTCCCAAAGTCAAGAGCATAATTATTAAAGTACAACATTTTAAAAAGCTAAAATGCCCTCCTGCTATTAACAGTAGGATATACAGGTTCAATTTCACTGATTGACATTAATAAATACTTACTCCCCTAAGCTCTACTCTTCCAATCATTTAACTCATACTAAGAGAGAGTACACTAACATAAAATCTTAAAAATACACATCCGATGACTAAGGATCAGTTGAAAACCTTTTAAAAACACTTTTATGGTTTTATTCCTAAAATCCTCATTGAGTATTTTCTGCTAAAAGGAAGAAAATGTAAAAACATAAAACCTGAGAAGGCAATAGGTGGCTTGAGACCAGTAGTTTGAGACCAGTTTAGTCTATATAGTGAAACCCCATTTCTACAAAAATTTTTAAAAAATTAACTAGTCATGGTAGCACATCACGGTAGTAGGCCTAGCTGCTCAGGAGGCTAAGGCAGGAGGATCATTTGAGCCCAGGAGTTTAAGGCTACTATGAACTATATTACACCACTGCACCCCAGCCTGGGCAACAGAGCAAGACCCCATGTCTAAAAATAAAATAAAATAGTTTGAAATTAGACTGTTAGTTACTTCTGGATCGAACACATCTCTTCATCTTTATTGCTGCTTTTAAACAAAGTACAATATCTGTAAAATAATAAGACGAAATACCCAAAGAAGAAGAACAAGAAAGAAAACAACAGCATACTAGATAAGTCAGTAAGTTTTGGAAAGACAGCAAGCAAATGGAGAAATAGTAACTGACTTAGCAGATCAAAGAAAGCTGAAGTCTAATGGCCACAAATGGAATTCCAACTAAATGGAATAAGCAACTAAATTCTTACTACGAAACACACACATTAAGGGGAAAAAAAGGAACAGAGGAATTGGAAGTACCAGGTATCTTGGAAAATAGATAGTTATGTAGAGCTAAAAACAGAAGGAATAGTTGAAAGCCAAATAAAAGAAACAGACCCTCCTCTAGGACCTTTCTTCCCATCCCATCCAGTTAGTTACTATCGCTCTTTATACTCTCTTGGAAGATGGGAAGTTTATTCTCTGCACAAAGTAAACAGGGAGGCTCTAGACTGGTAGACAAGAAACACAGGTAGAGCAAAAGATGAGAAGCCATGGTAAAAACAACTAATTAAGTGAAAACCTTCAGCCTCCATTTTCTACCAGGTTCCCGGAAATCCAGCAGGTAGGCTAAAAATCTCAAGTAGAAGGAATTAGAAGCTTCCTCTAGCATAAGAAAAGAATCTTAAAGATACTGACATTAGAAAGTCCCCAGTGAAACAGCTCACTTCGGCCAGGCATGGTGGCTCATGCCTATAATTCTAAGACTTTGGAAAACCAAGGTGGAAAGATCATTTGAGGCCAGGAGTTCAAGACCAGCCTGCGCAATTTAAAGAAATTCCATTTCTACAACAAAAGCTTAAAATTAGCCAGGCATGGTGGTGCATGCAAGACCCTATCTGTAAAGCAAAACCCTATCTCTAAAAAGAAATAAAAATAAAAAATAAAGAAATAGCCCAATTCAGGACAATGGGTCTAGGGTAGTAGTCCCCAACAAAGGCTAAATTTTCCCCCTGGGGACATGAGGCAACATTATTTTTATGACTGGGGAAGGGAGAATGCTATTGGCAGCTAGTGGGTAGAGGTCAGAGATGCAGCTAAACATCCTAAAATGCAGCTGACAGCCCCCGCAACAAAGAATTATCAGATCCTAAATATCAACCGTGTTGAGACTGAGAAACCTTGGTGTACAATCAAACCAAGTAGTCAACAAACAACTCAACCCATGTACATAAGGTTTCCAGTCAGCATTTGAGTGCCTCACCATTACACAAGAATGAACAGACAATATTTAAAATACAACTGAAGCAGGCCTCTAACCTGAAAAACAAAAATTACAACAAACAGAAAAATGAAACTCAGAATAACAAAGACAATCAAGGGAACTAAAGAAAACAACAAAAATTAGAAAAGTAACTGATAATCTCAAACAGAAAAGAAATTATACTATGGAATGAGAAAAAGATGTTGGGTAGAAAATATTCAAAGAATGGAAAATAAAAAATACAATGGAATAAATAAAAATTCAACAGAAGTTTAAAAAGAAAATGTTCAGGAATTCTACAAAGTAGAATACAATTACAAAAAGTAGAAAATAAGAAAGATGAGAAAATTTGTTAATCAAGGGAGATATACTGCAGAAATTGAGAATAAAGAAAAGGAAGGGAGTGAGGGACCAAAGGGGAATAACCAAGAAATAATACCAAAAAAGTTCCCAGAACTGAAGGACATGAGGTGCCAGGTTTAAAAGGCTCAACAAGTATACAGTCTATTAAATTAAAAAATCTTCAACAAGGTAAGTCAAAGTGAAATTTTATAACATCAGGGATAAAAGATTCCAGAGATAAACAGAAATTAGGTGGGCACTAAACTTTTCAACAGCAACACAGAAATCTAAAATGTGAAAAGCCTTCAAAATTGTAAGATAAATTACTCTATATGCAGAATTCTATAGCCAGAATTCTATTATTCAAATATATGGTTATAAATAAAAAACATGCTTAACTATTTTATAAGATGTTAAAAATTACCTTCAATGCACCTTTTCTCAAGAAGCTACTGAAGTATATCCTCCTACAAAGCAAGAGAATAAACCAAAATAGAAGACATGGAATCTAGAATATGGAGATTCAAACATGGGAGAGACAGTAAGATTATTTCCAGATTTAGAGGGTGATATGTTTTGGATTTGTGTCCCTGCCCAAATATCCTGTTGAACTGGAGGAGGGACCTGGTGGTAGGTGACTGGATCAAGGGGGCAGATTTCCCCCTTGCTGCTCTCATGAGAACTGATGGTTTAAAAGTGTGTGGCACTTCCCCCTCCCACACACTCTCTCTCTCTCCTGCTGACATGTGAAGAAGCTGCTTGCACCCCCTTCAACTTTCACCATGATTTTAAGTTTTCTGAGGCCTCCGGTCTTGCTTCCTGTTAAGCCTGCACAACTGTGAGTCAGTTAAAACTCTTTTCTTCTTAAGTTATCCAGATTCAGGTAGTTCTTTCATAGTAGCATGAAAACAAATTAATACAGAGGAGAAAAAACCTGGAACTAAGAAACTAATAAATCTGTCTTTGTAAAAGAAGAGGATATAGGAGCATATAGATGAAGAATTGCTGATTCGTACAAAGAAAACTGAGCAAAGTCAATTATTAACTTCAAGAAAAATAGTCATCCTTGAAGAAGAATATTACAGTTCACTACCTGACTGAGCAGTAAATAATACTTTCTTAACTATATATATAACCAATGTTGTCTAATCAAAACTTATAAATCATCATTTACGATAATAAGAAATGATTAACATTTACAAGTCATAAACTGAGAAAGAGCCATGGAAGCTTATTATTTGGAAATATGTACCAAAGGAAAAGTTTAAAAAGTTGAAAGTTGCCTCTGCTGATCATGATTTGACAAAGAGGATGGTTGCTTTAAGGGACTAGTAATCTTATTAGAAGATTTTAACACGAATAAAATACTTTTTAAAAATAGTATTCACATTCCTAAATTTACTTCCATCCCAATATGAATTCTATAATCTATGTAATAACAGCAGTGTTATATAAAACTATATTATTAGCTATGTAATTCCTTTAAACTGAAAACAAGTAGTCAAGTACAGCTTTTGAATATAAGAAAAACAAGTATTTAGGTCACTATTTTATAAGAGAGGGTCTATGTGGGCCTTCTAATCATGGCTTTCCTCTGATTACTGACCTAAAAGCTGTGTCTGTAAGGTCCCAAAATAGAAATGAGATGGAGAGTAGCAACAGTGTTCACTACTGTTATAGAAATTATAGAAAATAAGTCTACCAACCAAAAAAAGTCGAGGACCAGATGAATTCACAGCTGAATTCCACCAGATGTACAATGAAAAGCTGCTACCATTCCCATATGAAGTATTCTAAAAAATTGAGAAGGAGAAACTATCCCCTAACTCATTCCATGAGGCCAACATTATCCTGATACCAAACCCTGTCACAAATACAGCAAAAAAAGAAAATGTCAAACCAATATCCTTGATGAAATTGATGCAAAAATCCCTAACAAAATACTGGCAAGCAGAATCCAGCCGCACATCAAAAAGCTTATATACCACAATCAAGTAGGCTTCAACCCCAGGATGCAAGGTCGGTTCAACATACACAAACCAATAAATGTGATTCAGCACATAAGCAGAACTAAAGACAAAAGCCACAACTAACTCAATAAATGCAGAAAAGACTTTTGATAAAAATTCAACATCCATTTGTGTTTAAAAAAAAAAAACCTCTCAATAAACTAGGTATTGAAGGAACATATTTCAAAATAATAAGAACTATCGATAACAAACCCACAGCCAATATCATACTGAATGAGCAAAAGCTGGAAGCATTACCCTTGAAAACCAGCATAAGACAAGGATGCTTTCTCTCACCACTCATATTCAATGTA